TTTTAAATTTCTTTATTGAGTATTATAACAATCTGTCTGTTGGACATTGGTTATAGTGAGGTAGGATGACATTCACACCATATGTACAAAAAAATAAAATAAATAGAACAATAATAATATAATAATAATAATCAAAAGTATATACAATAGACAATAAAATAAAATAACCTAAAAAATAAGAAAATTAAAACTAAGAAAAAAAAAAACAAAAAAAAAAACACATGCATACCTATATACAATCAGGCGAGGGAACTCCAGGGGAACCCTGCGCTACTCTCCCAACCGCGTCACTGGTACTAAAGCCAGCGGAGATTGGTCGAGAGCACTTTAGCCACATACACACATGTCTTGAGTGAAGAATCTGGCCATTGCCAGAACTCCAATTTATACAATCTACAAAAGGTCGCGAGGCCACTGCCGTTTCAACCTTCTTGGAGGATTATAGGGATGGGAGATGCTTGATAGGGATTGTGCAAGAGGATTTGGGTGGTAAGTAAGGTTCTGGTGAAATTTGGAGAATTTTTCTGGGATAAGGTCTAGGACAAATGGGATGTTAAGGTCATGATGTAGGGTTTTGTTGGATACATAGAAAGGAACATCGACTATTGTTCGAAGGACTTTAGACTGGAAGGATTGGATGCGCTTGATGTTAGAAAATTTTGCTGATCCCCACAGTTCTAGTCCGTAAGTCCAAATAGGTTTCAGTATTGTCTTGTAGATCAGTAGCTTGTTTTCAATGGAAAGTTTAGATTTTCTGCTTAGTAGTCGGTATAGTTGGCCGTATCGTCGTTTGAGTTCTTGCCTTTTGAGTCTAGTATGCGGATTCCAAGTTAGTCTTCGGTCTAAATGAAAGCCAAGATACCGGACTGTGTCTGAATAAGGAAGCTGGATGGAATTAAAGAGTACTGGTGGACAGGAATTGCGTCGGAGTGTAAAGGTAATATGTTGGCATTTAGATTCATTAACTTTAATGCGCCAGTTATTACACCAGTGCTCAATCAAGGTGAGGTGACTTTGGAGATTTAAGGATGCTATTTCGGGATCAGAGTTGGATGATAAGATTGCGGTGTCGTCAGCGAATGTTGCAAGAAAAGTATCGGGCTGAACAGGGATGTCAGCAGTAAAGAGGATGTAAAGCACGGGACCCAAGACGCTGCCTTGGGGAACACCTGCTTTAACGGAGTAGATATTGGAAAATTCTGTTCCACAGCGAACTCGAAAGGAGCGGTCAGAGAGGTAGGATCGGAGGACTAGGTACAAGGACTGAGGTAAATGGATTTTAAGCTTGGAGAGCAGTCCGGAGTGCCATACCCGGTCAAATGCCTGTGCAATGTCCAGAAAGGCACCCGAACAGTATTCCTTGTTTTCTAGGGCTGAGGAAATATGATCAACAACTCGGAGTCCTTGTTGAACAGTAGAATGTTGAGAGCGAAAACCAAACTGATGGGAAGGGATATTTTGGGATTCTATAATGGGTAGGATTCGTTTCAAAAGGATCTTTTCAAAAATTTTTGAAAGGATTGGGAGTAGGCTGATTGGTCTATAGGATGTTGAGCTATTGAGAGGTTTTCCTGGTTTTGGGAAAAGGATAATAGTGGAGTGTTTCCATAACAGAGGGAAGTGGGTGGTGCGTAGGATACAATTGTAGATATATGTAAGGAATATGACTGCTTTGGATGGAAGTTGTCGAAGGATTTGAGGTGTAAGGAGATCATGTCCAGGAGCTTTACGGAGGATTAGTTTTTTTAATTGAAATTTTACTTCGGAAGGATGAATAGCTTTTGGGGGCAAGGAAAGTGGGATTGGTGATGTAAGGAGTTCTTCTACTGTTACGGTGTGGGCAGGATGGGATTCCGGATGTGAAATAAATGTATTGGATAGGTGAATGGCGAACTCCTCAGCTTTATCTTCGTCAGATGCTGCCCAGGAGCCATCACCTCGTCGGAGAGGATGGGAAATGCGGTGAGGATTTAGGATTTTTGTTGTGGTTTTCCAAAGGGAATTGTCGCGAGAAGAGAGGGAGGATAGGTAGGAGTTGAAGGATTGTGATCTGAAGGTGGCTAATTCCAGTTTTAATTGTTTGCAGTAGTAATTATAGGAGCAGCGGTCGGTAGGATGTCGGGTACGTTGCCATAATAATCTGGCACGGCGTTTGGTGCGGATTAGGTTAAGGAGGTGTTGGGGTAGAATGGTCTTTATAGGAATTCTGGAGGAGTCTTTTGGGAAGGAGGCAGTCCTGTCAGCTTTTAAAACACTTGACCACAGCATTCTCCTTACTAAACTGCAACACCTTCCTTTATCCAATAGTATTCTGTGATGATTCAAATCCTTCCTTTCAAATAAATCCCAGTATGTAGTCGTCCAAGGTCAAACTCCCACTAAGACACTTCCCCTCTCCTGCGGCGTCGCTCAGAGTTCCTCTTTATCTCCTACTCTGTTTGCTATTTACCTTAATGACCTTCCTCTCCTGATCCATCACTCCCAATACCATATCTATGAAGATGATTTCCAAATATACGTGTCCTTCTCTCCTTCTGACCTATTAGCAGCTACAAAAAAACTTCAAGAGGACTTAAATAGAATCTGTGACAGGGCGGATGCGAACAAGTTGAAGTTGAATGCCGAGAAGACCAAGGCAGTTTTGACAGGTTCCAGTCCTAAATAAAGTCTTAAACAGTCTTAAAACTCTTCCTAACATACCAACACTGTTCCTAGAAGATTATCCCATCAGTTTCTATCCCACCATTAAGAACCTTGGAATAATCTTTGATCAAACCCTTTCCTGTAAAAACATGTATTTCCCGCCGTGCCTTTTCCATTTTAAAATGATTAAATTATCTCCGCCACCTGTTTCCATTTGAAACCCATAAACTCCTTATTACTTCCTTAATATTTCCTCACTTCGACTATTGCTGTACTCTCCAGGGATCTCGAGACGAAACTAAAACTTTTGATAAATTGCCTTGTACGATTCATCTTCGGGATCCCAAGGGACGCCTCTATTTCCTATTATTATGAAGAGCTGAAATGGCTTCATCTTTCCTACCGACGTAAGTATTTCCTAGCATTCTTCCTCTTCCAAGTCATCCAATCCCGCCTTCCTTCATACATCTCCGAACTCCTTCAATTCAAATCCTCTGTCCACTCACGCAAAACCCGTTCCCGGTCTTCAGATTTGTATACAAGATCCCACCGAACCGCTGATTTCGACAAATCTTTCATTATTCGATCCACATAATTCCATCCTACATCCGTCCCTCCAATAACCTCCCCACCTTTAAAACCCGCCTGTTCAATCACCTCTTATCCGTTTAGTTCTCATAAAATTGTAAAATATGTATATAACTAATTAGTTTGTTTTAAATACTTGTATTTAATTTTTTTTTTTTCTCTTGATTGGAGATAGAAGGTAAATAATATTCTTTTCTTTTATTTATTCATTATATAAATTTGTTTATTTTGTAATTATTCTCTAAGGCTCCAAAGCCCACATTTTTATCTCTGTACATTATTCTAAAGGGACTTGTCCGAGAATAAATAAAACATTATTATTATTATTACTTACGGGACACTCTGCACATTAACTTATCCTAGAATTTTATGATTCAATCCTCCATCAATTTTCACGTGATATTATTCACATTTTCCGCTGCGGACCAGTCAGACTGTGAAAAGCGTTGAATCTTTATTTGAGATTGTACACACTAAGATATCAAAATATTTTTTACATCATTCATTTTTAGCTGAAAAAGGAGGAAGTACCTCTACTCTTGTTTAGGCAATTTCCTTCTTCAATAAAAAAAGGTAAGTAACTCTAATTAGTTCAACTTAGGCAATATTCGACATTATTTTGCAGTGAAATGTATTTTTATTGAATGTGGTAGGTTATATAGTTTATGAAAAGTAACTCACCCTTTTATGCTTAAATTACAATTTATTTGCTTGAGAATAAATAAAATAGTAAATTAACTTTTTTTCACTTCTTAAATTTATGAATATTAATGAATTAATAAGTTATTATACGTCAAAGTATCGATTTAATGTAGAAAAGTAAAAAATAATTTCAGCACTGGCCCACACTTTTGATTTTGACTGGAGGAAGGGGGCGATTGACTAAAATAAACCAAAAAAATGGCGAGAGTTTTTTTTTATATGTAATAATTCAACAAAACTATTGTGAAACAAACAAATATGGTATTGAATAATTAAAATTTATCTGTGTATATGTTTGTTTAGTTTATTTATGGATTATAAATATGAATTTTTTTTTGTTTTACTTATTATATATACCTGAAAATACCTTTAAAAATACAACTTTTTTATTTGTTTTATTTAAACACAGGGAAGGAGGTTGTTTGTGAACTTCTAATTTCGTACCCGAACACCACTTTGCGGTGATTTGTAAAAACAGATACCTGATAAGAATCTAGAAGTCTATAGAGAGCAGTTCTCTCACACACTTTTAGCCAAGCACTTGAATAGGGGGGACCTAAGAAGAAAGACTGGGCTGGACGGCGCCCGTCAGGATAAGCAGTTAAAATTTCTTTAAATAAAAAATTTAAATCCTTCTTCACCATCCCATTTCCCTCATTATTTGGGGCCTATACATCTCCCCCCATCAACACCATCGATAATCATGTTTTAAATACCATTGATACTTTCTCACACTCTTTTGCATACAGTTAAAATAATAATGTAAATGTTTATTTCTTATATTGGTAGACATATTTTAAAACAATGAAAATGAAGATTTAATATTTAATATATTTTTTTTTTATTATTTTGGTTTGAAGTATTTTTTTTTCTTTTTGTTTGGTGGTCATGTATTTAATGTTAAGAATTCTTACTTTTAATAAACAAAGTTTTATCGCTTCCCCGAAAAGTTGTATACATAAACATTTATTTGGTTTATTTTAATAAAAACTACATTTACGAACCTCACTGTAAACATTTATACTATTTAGTTTTGAGGTGTGAAATTGAACTAATCGTACACGAACGTTAGTTAACGGTTATTTTTGGTTTTGAATTTGTTTAGTTTTAGTAGTTTAGTTCATAATGACAACCAAAGGAACACAAATTTCTTTTAATGTAAGTTATTATCAAACTGTATTTTCTGCTTAGATTTCTTGCTAAAACATTTATATTTGAATTTTCCTATGTCATATGAGAAATTATTTTGCACTTGATGTTTTTGTTCAATTTCATTATCACTACTTCTGTCTTAATCAATTTTTTTATTATTTTAATGTATAATTCAGCAAACAGAAAATAAGAGGCTAAAATTGCCTGGAAAAGATACATCTACCCAACCGACAAGGCCAATTAGAAATGTACTATCTGAAATTGGGAATATTAATATAAATTCGGATGCTGATGGTGCAAAAGTAAAATCATCAAAGAATGGAATATCCATTCAGAAAAGGTATGTTATTTAATTGTATTAAATATTTACTTTTATATTTTATTTAAGATGAGCATATTAGTTTTAAAGCAATCTCCTAAAAGAGAGTATTTGTTAAGAGGCCCTAGGTTGGCTCTTATTATTGTTGTATGGCCTAATCAACTATAAGGTACCATTATCTGTTATAAACTATTTCTTTATTAGTTATTTCCTTAATATTAGAATTGATATACATTCCTATTTTAGTTGATCATACAGGCATAATAATCCTGCAATTTATTGTCCTGAAACTCCTAACCTACTCTCAGTTGATCATGAATTACAGTATTAATTATCTAATTTTCTTAATTAGGCCTGTTTGTACTTATGGAGTTGAGCTTTAGGGCTGCACAAAATCATTAAATTCTTCTCGTATCCAATCCTTATAATCCAAAATCCTTAATGCTCCTTGCTGTGTCACCAATGAAATTATCGATGATGACCTTAACGTTCCATTCCGATATAGCTCAATCCAGACACCAATCCTTCCATAATAAACTTCATCCTCATCCAAACCAGTAGGTTTCTTACCTTGCAACCTCTTTGATTCCTGACAATCCTAGGTGTCTGAAAATAAGGTGGCTATTATGTTGTCCGGAAAATAATGCAGGATTTTGTGTTTTCTTAAAAATACACCTCTATATAACAAATTGTTTACATTTACTGGATTATTCATTTGTATCAATGTCAGCACTTATTAATCCTCTTCCAGATGATAATGTTTGTTTACCTCTGTAGCATTTCGCTGCTTAGAAATAATTCAATCTTAACTAATATGTCAACACATGATTTTCATATAATTTTGTTTTATGAGTTTAAACTCAGCCAGAATGGAGCCCAGATGACTAGAAATATCAATCAAGTTTGGGGCAAGAGCAGCATTAATGAGTGCACTGTTCAACGGTGGTTCAAAAAATTTCGGGAGAGAGACTTTAACCTGGAAGAGAAAGAAGGTCGTGGAAGGACTTCCTCTCTTGATGACGATGTGCTGCGGGCTTTGGTGGAAGAAAACCAGTTAACCTTAGCAAATTGACCGTCGATGACCACCTCATGGCGAATGGAAAGGTAAAAAAGCTTGAAAGTTGGGCTCCACACACATTAAACAATCGCCAAAACATCCAGCATTATGAAGTTTGTGCTACACTTCTTTGCCGAAATAAAAGCGACCCTTTTCTATCCAGCATTGTTACTTATGATGAAAAATGGATACTTTATGATAACAGTAGATATTCTGGACAGTGGCTCGACAAAGGAGAAGCAGCAAAACATTTTCCAAAGCCCCCAACTAATCCAAAAAAGTTGATGGTTACTGTTTGATGGGCTTCATTTGGTTTGATACACTACAGCTTCTTAAATCCTGGAGATACTATCTATGCCAAAACGTATTGTAAGCAAATGAATGCAATCGGAAGGGGCCCATTTTGTTGCATGACAAGATCCAGCCACATGTGTGACGTCACAAAAAATGTTGGAGCTTGGATATGAAACTCTGCTACATCCACCTTACTCTCTGGACCTCTCGCCTACTGATTATCATTTTTTTAGACAAATGGGAAATTCTATTCTGAGGGAATGGAAAAGTTGCCAACATGTTGGCAGAAATGTATTGATAACAGTGAAAACTATTTTGATTAGATAAAACAGTTCTAAATCTTTCTTTTTAAACTAAAATTCTGCATTATTTTCCAGAAAACCTAATAGAACATAGAACTATTATTGTAGTGTAAACTACCATTGAGTAGTTTTTCTTCTGCTTGTGTCGTTATACCAATTAATATTTACTTTTATTTTTATTTAACACAGTTGTAAATTTATGTATATAAAGATATGATTTAGTAACCTTGATGACCTAACTCGAAAAAAAATCTTACCTAGCATGGAAACCCTAGATTGGAATAGATTATATTCATGTTCCACAATTGTTGCCATGGTGGATATCCTGAACTCCAATCTTACTATCCTTGTAGCCCACGCCCCTTTCAAAACCTCTACCTTTCATCGCCATCCCGCGCCCTGGACGTGTCAGCAAATTAAGGATATCCAGAAGCAGCATGATGCTGCCCGTAGATGCTTAAGACGTACTAGGCTGGCCAACGACTATCTAGAATTTAGGGTGCTCCGCAACCTGGCACAAACCACAATCACAAGCCAAATCGACCTATTTTCATGAAGCCCTTTCATCAGTTCCCGATTCCAAATCCAAATGGCTACTCCTTTGTAAGCTCTCCCTCTGTGAATCTACCAGATTCCCTCCCTCAACAGTATTTCCAGTTTCACCAGATGATTTAAACTCATATTTTATATCTGCTTCTTCTTCCATTCCTCCTTTTACTGTTTCCTTCTCTTCTCCTGTTGCATCCTTCAACTACGACGACTTTTACTTTTCATATATCTTGCCCTCAACAGACCGCCGTGATGAATTCGCATTCCAATTCTATTGGTCCAGATGACATTCCGACCTAATTAATCAAACTATTTCTTCCCGAAATCCTTCCTGTTCTCCTTTTCGTATATAATTTCTCCCTCCAAAACTCATTATTTGCTACCTCATGGAAGAAAGCCATCGTTTGACCTTTAAATACAAATTCTAACCCTTCTTCCCCCAAAGATTTCTGTCCAATTTCAATCCTTTCCAACCTTTCAAAACCCCTGGAAAGAATAGTGCAATCCCAAGTTTCCAATTTCCTTGAACATTCCAATCAACTTGACCCTTTCCAATCTGGTTTTTGACCTGGCTACTCCACACATTCCGCCATAATTTTCATTACAGATATTGAGTCCTCTATAAATGATAAAAATCTAACTGTCCTCGTACTCCTTGACTTTTCCAAAGCCTTCAAAAACATTGACCATTTCACCCTCTTTTCCAAATTAAAATCATTATCCTTTTCCAACAACGCTGTTCTTTGGTTTCATTCTTTCCTCTCTCAACGTTCACAAGCTATCACTATCCATAAGCAACCCTTGTCTTCCTATATACTCTATCCTCAGGAATGGCCCAGAGCTCTAGCATATCTCCTCTTCCTTTTAGTTCCTGTATCAACCAGCTCCATAAATCTATCCTCCACTGTTCCCATCACCGCTGTGCCGATGATTCCCAAATTCACCTTTCCTTCCCTCCCTCTAAGTTGTATGATGCGTTTGCCATCAGCGCCTGGGCATACATAAATAGATTAAGATTAAACACTGATAAAACTCAGGCCATTGTCATGGTTCCAAACCCCTCCTCAAATCCAATGCGAACATTCCTATTCTATACGTAAATAACCATCCCATCACTATCAGCTCCTCAGTTAAAAACCTAGGCATTTTCATTGACCAAACCCTCTACTGAAATCACCATATTGCCCACATCTCTCGACAGTCAATTTGTACCCTTAAACTATTCCATCGCTTCAGCCATTTCCTTCCTATACCTACACGTACTCCTAGTATCGTCCCTCATCTTCCCCCACCTTGACTATGGCTGTGTGGTGTACGGTGGCCTCTCGAACTCGGGGGCAGACTAAAAAGAATTGTGAATAGCTTAGTAAGATTTGTCGGAGGAACCCCGAGACATTCCCATGTTTCTCACTACTATACCCAGTTAGGGTGGCTCTTCCCCTCCTTCAGAAGACAATACTTCCTTGGCATATTCCTTTACCAAATAATCAACAATCATCATGTGTCCTATGTATACAATCTCCTCCAATTTAAATCACCTATCCACTCCTGCTCCACAAGATCCTTCTTATCTTTACACCCCTTTCCATAGATCTGCTTCATTTCAACATTCCTTTATTGTCTGCTCCACCACCTTTTGGAATTCCATCCCACTTAAAATCCACCATGCACCATCCTTATCCGCATTCAAAACTCTCTTATTCCAATTCCTCTTCACAATCCAATCAGACACTGGTTAATTATGTATTATGTGATAACGATAATTTTTTAATTATTTTTCCCTTTTCATACACTATTATTTTATTTTATTTTTTGTTTATTATTTATGAATTGGAAAGATTCAGTATCATTTTTAGCATAGCACTTTGATGCATAAAAAATAAAAGATTGTTTGTTGGTTTTATCCATTTTTTTTCTATCTACAAGATTACACATATTTTAAATTATACTTTTTATGCAATTGATTGTTATAAATTAATATGTGTTTTATAATGATATAGATTAAAATATAACAACTAAATTACAATTAGTTTGAAGGATCTTGAAAATGGCTCCTGAAGCCGAAACGTCGAATAAAAAATACACGTGATAACGTGCATATTTGGTGACCTTTGGCCTAATTTAAAAAAAAAAAACTAAGAAAATGGCACCGAACCTAAAAGATATGACTAGAAAAAAATAAAATAAATTCACACTTTAGTTACACTTATTATACGTTATGAGACCAGTAAATGTTATGCGTATCTATTTATCAATCTAGTACTTCTTTCTTTTTTCAAATATTTGTAGTACTCATTTCATATTCATGGATAAAACTGAATAGTATCTTGGATATGTCTAGACTATCTCTTTGACAGTAAAAATATTAAAAATTCATATTGATATAAGAATTATTATTAGTGCTCAGAAATGTTTATCTTAAATTCTACATTGTTAAAGTCGAAACTCAGAAATGTTTTAAACTAGGAGTTCTGTTAAATTGTCACTTTGATCATCTGTTAGCTTGAGCAACACCCGCACAAAACTAGCTTTACTGATATCTCTTTGTTAAACAATTATCCGTTTTAACAAATAAAGGCTTTCCACATGTGACATAGTTTGTGTTAAAAGCAATACTTATGGTTTCTATCATAAGTATTAGGATAAATAAGAATCTGTTGATAGGAATATATGAAAATTTGTGTTCCTTTTTACTTCTTCCTAGTGATATAAGAAATATATAACATCGAAAATTATTACAGTCGTGAAAAAAGTCTAATTTGTAGGTCTTCTATTCTCTATTTCGCAAAATATGTTTTAATAAACGACAAAGATAAAAATGCTGCAAATTATTTCACAATGGTTTATTATTTCCAAACAATTATACATCTAAAGTGACATCACCTTCCTAGTGACAAAGAAAAAGCAATAAAAGGTGCTTCCAATTGTAGGACTAAATATTTTTTTTTAATCATTTGTAATTTGCTAAAAAAATTAGCATTACTTCAATAATAAATTCAAAAACCAAAACAAAGGATATAACATTTGCAGTAGAGTGTATAAAAAACATCTAGAGACCATATCTTTGCTTCTAATTGTCCGATTTTAACAAATTTTTTTTTTTTAGGAAATTTCGTAAACTTTTAAATAACCAATATCAACAAAAAAGTGTATACTTTTTGAGTTATTCGGAATCTAATTTTACCATCCCTTGTTACTTTTTGCCCAGCTTCTTTTCGTTGAAGTATGTTAGGTAGATAAATTTACAGGTCATCAAGAAGAAGACTTTAGCGAAATTTAATTGAAATCAGTACATTCGTTTAGGTGCTACTGTCTATAGCAACGCAGGTTTTTTGGTCGCCATCTTAAAAGGAAAAGGCGGATAGTAATGTCGATGAAGGAGGATCATCCTCGGATGACCTCTGATTTTGAATCCTAATTTTAAAAAAATCTGTAGTTTCAGAGAAAATGGGCGAATGGCGGACGGTGGATGGACAAAAAAATTTTTATTCGTTTTTCGAATTATACATATCCTGAAACATAAAAACTCAAATGTTGAGAAGGGGTTAAGTTTTTGAATTTTTTGTTCGATTATAATGGTTCATTATTGAAAATAATAAACCAAAATGTTTCACATAATCACGTATCGCAATAACATAATTAAGGACCATGAAAAAACATTGTATTACAAATCAAACTTAAACAGTTGTAGTGGTATGCAGGCATTCCACTTTATATGTAAAATAATATATTGGTCACCAAAAACTTTTTTATGTAATAAAGAGTTATATTTATTTATTACATAATGTACAATTTCCTGTTCTTTTTCTTAAAATGTTTTTAAGAAGTTATTTAATTTTGTTCCAGTTGTATTCCACAATCGAAGGCTAATCCTCCCATTGTAAAACAGGGACTAGTTTCCAAATTACTTGGACCATCAACAAGGTAATTATTTTTCTTGGACTTTAAGTATTTCAACATTTCTTTTTTCAATACATGTTAAAATAAAAAGCTGACTAAATTTACTTCAAAACTTAAATTGGAACAGTTTACACAAACTCTACTATAAATTTTATTTGTATAAACTATTTTTTTATACTAGTGCTTACTGTTCTTTGTGTATGATTTTTTTCATTTTGAAACGATAAAATGATGGTTCATATTACCATTTCGAAAAAAAGTCACCATAGCAAATTTAAGAAGCTTAGTGGAGAAAGTGCAGATTTTTCTACCATGCTTTTTGAGAGAATTGATAAATTCATATGAGCCTAGAAATATTTCCAATTCCAATGAGACAAGGATATTTTGCAAGTTATACCTGATTATTCTACATGTTTAACCTGAGAAAGGTACTATTTGTCCAAACGACGAAGTTTCTGCATGATTCAATTAGTTTCCCGGTATTCCTCTCCTCTCAGTAGTACTATCTCCACCTATTTCACAAGTGATCCTCAAGGGTGGAAAGTTCTTAACAACAGGTTAGTCTGACTGTTTTTATTACTTTCACTTACGTATATATGTAATATATAGTAAGGGTAAGTACTGCGATCGTGAAAATTTTCGAATTTCAGTTTTCAACGGAAATACATGTTTTGAGGTCCCCTGAGTCCAAATAACCAAGTCTCGCAAAATGGTCTGTGTGTGTGTGTGTGTGTGTGTGTTAACAGTTAGCTCATAAATGAAAAGTAGTACGAAACTGATATTAAGTATTTAAGGTTTGTATATGGGCCAGATGTGACAGCAACTTTTTTGTTAAAATCGGATAACCGGAAGTGCCACTTTATATGAACGCTGAAACACATTTTTACAATTTTATCAAAAACAGCTCTAACGATTTTGATTAAACTCGATGTATCATTGTATAATTAAGTGGTCTTTAATATCATTTAAGTCTTATCCCCGTTGATTTAACTTTACAGGGCTTAAATGCCCAATGTTCATATATATCTTCCTCTATAGTACCTTTAATATGGTTTATTTTAAAAACTTAATCATTTCGCATTATTCAGAGTTATAAAAAAATGCTACATATAACTTTTGAAAGAATTTGATAAGTTAATAAAGGAGAAAAAAAAATAAAAATGCAGAAAAACCTGCGTTGCTATAGACTGTAGCGCCTAAACGAATGTATCGATTTCAATGAAACTTCGCTAAAGTCTTTTTCTCGACACCCTTTAAATTTATCTATATAACATACTTCAACGAAAATAAGATGGAAAAAAAGTTACGAGGGATGGTAAAATTAAATTCCGAATAACTCAAAAAGTATACGCTTTTTTGTCGATATTGTACATGGTTTTTTAAAATTTTATGTAATTTCCTAAAAAAAAAAAAAAGAAAACAATCGTTAAAATCGGATAATTAAGAGGAAAGATATGGCCTCTAGTTTTTTTCCCTGAAGAGGCGAAAATTTGGAATAAATTTAAAATACAGTTTTTTAATTGTTGAGACTAAAAAAACCTTTTTTCTACAGATATTTAATAAAGTATCTTTCCTAAGAACATCTTTCATAAGAAATAAGTACCTAAATTTATACCTTTATTCTCAGTTCTATATTTCAAGGCTGCAATCACCACCTCCTCATTGTCTGCATAGATAACTTTTCCAACTAAAAATATCACTAAAATGACATCACTCAAAAATGTTGAAATTGGAGTTAGTCATTCTGGGGTTTATAGAAGCAAAGAAAGTTGTGTGGTTTATAAAAGCAGATGGAGTGACTAGATTTTATTGCCTGTCGTCGATATATTAAATAGACATTTTGTATTTATTATGGTCTTAATTACTTGTTATCTGTAAGCTTTAAGCTTTAGCTCCGTTTAAAATGCACTTCAAAAAATTTTATAATAGCCCAACATTGCCAAAAAATAATTTCTGTTCAAAGTAGATCGGTCAGTGAAAGTTGTGTGTTGCATGCACCAGATTTTTTTTTAGTTGAAGTAACATCTCCTAAATGATGAAGTGAAGTGATACCTTTTCATATCAATTGTTCTTCATTGTAGCAATGAACTCTCCCGGTTTAAGTAATTCATTTATTTATCTTCAAAGCACTATTTTTTTGGGTTATTTACTCTTTCCTTCTATACATAAGTATAGAAAAACTATATGTAGAGAAGATACAATAAAAAAATAACAATCTTTTGTGCAATCAAATAAATGTTGGTTTTTGATATTTCACCTGTTATCTTTGTTACAGATAAATAAGTAACAAATTTTAATTATGGATAGCAGAGAGTTATTATTGACTGTTAAAAATAATTCATAGGAAATTTTATTAGAGATAGGTGAAGAAGATATTCCAGAGACAGATGACGACTACTAGTCTGAATTCGATGTCTCAGACCTGGACTTTTTTCCGGATGGAAACGAGGAAGTCAAAGAAAACGTTTTAGAAAGTATAAAAGAGGCAAAGAAAGTTACTAAAAAATGTAAAAGAACATAAAAAAAAAAAATTGGAAACATTTATGATTTTCCCTGTGTCTTTCCTTCCCCATGAGTTGCCTATAACCTGAACCGCATCATAAAATATAAAAATGATTTTGAGTGAAGCACGACCCTCTCCGAGTGCAGGTAGTTCCCAGTGCCAACTTAATTCATCTGCAGCCCGGTCCTACACTAAAATGTAAAGATATGTTTGAGCGAGTTGATAGTTTCTATCAATTTTTCACTAATGTTCATTTTATTACATATGCTTATTTTGTTTTAAATATTTTATAATAAAATAAATAATTTTTTTATTAACATTAAACAATATTCTGCTAGGCAAATCTGCAAAACCAAGATGTTTTAAAAATATGAAAACTTTTTCGATGATATACTGTACCAACATAAAAGTATGGATGACAAGAGAAATATTCAATGAATTGAAACAATGAGTGAATACTAATATAAAAACATTTACAAAACAGTAAAACATTTAATTTTTTATTGATAGTTGTATTGTCTGCAACAGTAAACCACCCACCACTCAACCACTTTAATGTTATGTTTTTGCATACCAACACAATCCCCATGTAGCTATTGGATCTGGGTATAATTAAAATATTGCATCAGATTTTACCACAAGGATGTAGTGGTGCAAATCCTTGAAAGTATCAAGGATGGGAAAGTACTTAAAATCAACTTGTTTTCAGCCATGAATATTGCTGACAAAAAATGGCAAAAATGTTGTTATAGCCCACTGGTGATATGACCACAATTCTCGGACAGTACAGATTTTTAATACTCTGGCAAATGTTTATCAGATGTGTGGCCGTATTGTTAACTGTTGTTTTTGGGTTGGAGAAAAGATATAATAGTTATTAACAGTTATTGAAATTTTAGATGATTAATGCCCACTTATATGGAATTTCTTAGCTAAAAATGAAGAATCTCTCAAAGCTTTTGAAGATTTCCTCCATTCTGGATATTGTATAGTGTTAATGGGAATCCTGGCTGACTATGAAATTTTGGTTTTGTCTGAAAAAGTTTAATATGCATAAAATGGACTAAAAACTAATAATAATAATTAACGATTAAATTTAAATAAAAAAGGATTAAAAATAATATGCATGAAAAAAAGGCTAATATGCGGATCATTAATCCTCAAATGGTGAAACAATGGATAACTACTGTTGATGCATGGCTGATGTGATTGAATAAATAATTACCTGCCTCAACCGGAACTAAATTCAGGATTTGGAGCATATGAGCGCAGTAGCTTACTCCCTGAGCCATATATAGTCTCATATATATTATACTAGTAGGCCCGTGTGAAAAATTCGCACAGCATATTGTTATCAAATGCCAAATTAATAAGAAAATGCAACTTATCAAAAGATTAAGACATCAAATGTTACTTTATCGATAAATATAATCCACAAAGGAAACAAAAATTAATTTAAATCTTCATTTTTGTTTGGAACCAACATGTATAAAAATTTCAGTAAGCTGTATATTTGCTAAAAATTGTCCGATTGCGATGATTTTTTTTTCCTTTTGTAGGGAATTTAGTAATCTTTTATATAATTATGGGAATATTCGCAAATAAAGTTTATTTTCTTTCATAACTTGTTTGCCTGAATTTTCTGGGTGATTGGACTATTTTGCCAGCCTGAAGGAGAAGGAAGCCTTCGAAATTGGTGGCTCAATCTTGAGATTTGGTGAAAAATTAACGATGATATGGCTTGCCGATCAAAAACACCATCGATGAATAATGTAAACTCCCCCTCTCTCGATCATAGAGACCTCAAGTCGACGAAATGAGACATGTATTCAATGACAGTACTACAATTAATGTAAGGTTGTGTGGATGCGAACCCTATGCCTTGCTTATCTCGAAAATAGTACGTTTTTCGGCTTAAAAACGTAGGATCCGATAGTTCCGGAGGAACTATTCGGGTCTTGCTGTACGCATCAAAATCTTTAAGATCCAATTTAAAACAGTAATTGGAAAAGTGCACAGAAATCTATATTAACAGTGCAATCATGAAAGTAACACATTTTTGTATAGGACCAAATTTAGTTATGTCAATTTTTTTATTTTACTGCTGCCCAAAAAAACCTACAAAGTATTGATTTGTGCACAAAAGAAACGTTTCATCACATTTTATATTGTATCTTTAATTTAATTTTTGAAGGTTTTAACAATTTCACATACACATTCATTATGCATTTTTTTGATGTAGGCATGTGGCGTATTATGGTGTTGCTTTACTAAAAACATTTATTTTTTAGTACATGATCTTTGTAGAAACAGATTTAAATTATGTTTAAATTTCAATATTTTTTAAAATTGATGAACCTATAGGAACACAGAATATAAAATTACAAAGAAGCACTGTTGGTGCAAAGAAAAACAAAATTGATTTCTTGAATGAAGTTATTTTCTTCCTTATATTCATTTTCAGAAAGTTCATCAAGTCCATCTTCTGGAAAGGAAGAAGTTTGATCACTTCCATAACCTGGGCGAAAACTATTTTAATTATTAATTTAAAATACATATATTTTGTGTTTTTAAAATATAGTGTATTTTAAATACAAAGTATTTAAAATTCTTTTAGAAATAATTTTCATATTTTGTATTTAAAATAAAATACTTGCGTAAGGTACCTAGTTGCTCTTTAAAACTACTTCCTAAAAAAAATAATATATTTTTTAATAAATTAAATTTTTCTATTTTATTTATTATTATTTTTTTTTTTTTTTGTAAGGAAAGAAATAATGAAAAGAGGGCTCAGTGGATATAGTTTTAAAACAATTAATTGAGAAAATATATTTTATTCAATCAATATTTTTTAAAATATGAATTTGTTAAAGAAATTATAATTGACAAACAAACAAATTAAAATTTTTTGCAATTAGCTTTTAATAATACTCGTTCATCAAACAATTGATCAATCAACAATTTCATTGTGGGTGCATTCAACAAATTAGAAAACAAAAATAGTTGTTCAACTCGTCGTGATGTGGACAGCGGAGTGTTATATTTTATAAAAACAATGCTTATCATCGGGTAGTAATCCAAGATTTGTAAATTTTTTCGTTGATCTAGTAGAAATCTTGGGGGTTTCAATTTTAACAGAGCGAGAATGGTATTTGTATACAGAGAGGTATTTGAATTGTTTACCTCCTTTAAGTTTAGTCATTTGCTAGATCAATAAGTTTATCAATAATAAATATATTTCACAATTTCTCTTCTCTCATTATAAGTGATTTGTAAAAATTCGTTAGCATAAGTATGAATTATAATTAATAATAATAATTTTACTGAAAAAAAATTATTTTTTAAGGTTAACTATAATTTTTACTAACGAATCTTTACTAGAAATGTTTAGTTTTATCACTTTAACGATTTTTTTAAACCTCATGAGCATTTCACTGTAATTTTGAACTTCATTGTAATAAAAAATTAAAATATATTTCTTTTGATTAATTTGTGGATTTCTTCCTTCTTATTTTAGGAGAAATTCTTTAAAATCATATAAATAAAAGTAAATTTGTTTTTCCCAACAGTATATCTATCAATAATATACTCTTTCATAATCCCAATGAAACAATTCTAGAACATTTTATAATTTCTAAGTATCTACCAATTTTATTGCCAAAGACAATTGTATTAAAAACTGCAAGCTGCATCGAGCTTAATAATATTTTAAGTTCAATTTTCATGGGCGAGTTCTAATACCAACTATTATCCTTACTACATAACTTAAAGGTGCCTTCTCAATTTGATAATGTATTTTGTATTTTAAAAATAAAATACAAATACATTTCAATGTATTTTGTATTTTCAAAAGAAAATGCAGTTACAAACAATGTATTTTATATTTTACTTCTCAAAATACAAAAAATTTATTTTATTTTGTATTTTAAATTACTGTCCAAGTTTGCCTTAAATTATATAGTTATATCTAATTATTGTGTTATGTACTATTTTTCTGTTATTTATAAATTTAAATAAATTATTTTTTTAGTTGCATCTCACAGTTAAAGGCAAATCCACCTATTGTGAAACAAGGGCTAGTTACTAAATCTCATGGAGCCTCAATGAGGTAATATTTTTTTCTTGTAATTTAGATTTTTTATCATTTTTTTTATTATAGGATCCATAACATTGTGGCCTGTTGTTACTCCTGCATATAGGGTCTCTACAACGCAGGTAAAACTGATAAAAGTCAGAGAATTTTCCTAAAATATGTGTCCTAACAAGTTGAAAAAATAAAATAAATAGAAAATAAAATTATAAAAATTTAGATACTCAAACGGGACCTTAAGTTGCTGCCACGGGAATGGGAAAATAACATCATAATCCCAATTCACAAGAAAGGCAACCAAAATGAATGTGAGAACTATAGGCCAATATGCCTATCCTCATTAGTGTACAAAATATACACTAGGATTTTAGAGCAGCAACTGCGGAGTATCATTGAAAGAATATTGAAAAGGAGCGAGCGGCTCTCATAGGTGGAAGATAATTTTTTCCTTGTTTTTTTCAATCCAGGACCACGTTTTTTCCTTAAGAATTTTAGAATAGAAAGCTTGAGGCCGGGGCAAGATGGTCTAATTAGCATTCCTGGATCAGAGGGCAGATTTTGAATCTGTCCAAAGGTAGGAGATATGGGACACATTAATGATAAGAAGAGTGCCATCAAACCTGGTAAGTGCTATTAAATCAGTGTACCAAGATCCAAAGGGAATTGTAAGACTTAACAGACAGACATCACCTTTACACTTTTATTAGGGAGTTAAGCAGGGAGATAGCCTTAGTCCCCTGCTATTCATTCTTCTTATGAATGAGAAATGGGAAATGTGTAAAAGGAGAGGTCCAAAAGCAGTAGTAGGATTTTCTAGCCTAATTCCAGTACTGGCTCAAGCAATGGTACATGCGGATGGTATTATATTGATAGCTGACTTTCAGGAGGTTCTTCAGGCGTCTCTGGATGAATGGAATCAGAAACTGAAGATAAGAGGTTTTCAAATAATTATGTGTGTCGGAAGAGAAAATGTGGAGCCTAGGGTTTTGTGTAACAGTGAACCCCTAGAACGAAGAAATACTTATATGTACCTTGGGGCCATAATAAGTAAAGATGGAAAAATAGACTGGGAGGTTCTATATTGAGTGAGGAAGGCCAATGAACGGTATAATCAGATCCAAAACTGTCATAGGCAAGCAAAAAATGAGTAGAGATGTCAAAATTTTAATATTTAAACCTGTTTTCCTCCCAGTTCTCCTATATGGATCAGAAAGCTGGACAGCCCTCAACAAGCTCGTAAGTAGGATAAAATCAGCAGAAATGAGATTCTTCCGAAGAATAGTTAATAACAACTGGAGGAACTGTGTCAGAAATGAAAGAATTCGGAAGGGTTCGGGTGTCAAATCAGTGCACAAAATCATGCAAGAGCGACAACTAAAATGATCCAGACATGTCTGTGGAATAGAAGATACCAGAAAAGCCAGATGGTACTTGGAAGGAAAACGCCCTTGTGCCAGACCCAGGTGTATGTACTTCGATTACATTGGAAAACTGATGGTAGCAAGAAGATGCACCATACCAGAGATGAAAAGACTATTCAGGGACAGGAACCAGTGGGCTTGATGAACTCAGACTGAAACTCCATGTTTTATGGCACACAGAAGTTAAAGGAAGAATATACCCAAAGAATGTTTTACTTGCTCACTACCTAAGGTAGAAAATCTTTGTACTCCTGCAGAAGGTTACAAAAAGTTTGTACCCAAAATCAAAAATTTTCGCTCACTATATATGTTTTAGACATCAAGGAAAAATTGTATTACTGTTTTTGTCTGTAGTCAAGTTTATGTAATGAACATAAAATCTACTACTGCTAACGTGATTCCAATTTTGATTAAGAGTTCTAGGATTACACAGGATGCTAAATAGATGGTCCCATATCAATTATATCACATTCCATTCATTTTGGCTTACGCTTGTCCAAAAGTATTATAAAAACAGCTGGTTTGCTTTTTCATTTGGCTCAAAGATAAAAGAAAGTTGGGGATCAGTGAAAAAATGGTGCTGTATTAATTTTATTAAATTCCATTCATAATTGATACGCCTATATTTTTAAAAAATGGTTCATTTGATTTGGCACTTCAGTCAAGGGATATTAGGGATTAGTGAAAAAATGATCCGGTATCAATTATATAAAATTTCATCCCTTACTTTCGCTTTTGATTGTGAGGACATATTTTCCTTGTTAAGCTTTTATTTCAAAAACTTTTAGTTCGATTCGGCCCAAAAGCTGAAAAGTGGAGGACTTTTTTTTAGGTTAATTAAACAATATTTCTTTATACTTTTTGGTCCTTTTGACCCTAATTCAGTCAGTGACACGAGTTAATATTATCTGATGATGATATTTATTTCAAAATACATTATTATCGTGACTCTCCAATCCAGGGTCGAATCCTGACCTCCTCAAGCAGCTTCCATAAATTGTCTGTCTCTGTACCTTGCAGCCGTTATCCAATTTCGAGGCTTCAGCATGTATTTCGCATCAGCAGCAACAACATCAGCCCATTGTAGCTTTGGTATTCCTCTTCTCCTGGTACCATGGAGTGGCTCCATCAGCAGTTGTCTTGATGGATCCTCACTGTCCATTCTGAAGATGTGTCCTGCCCACTCGAATTATTTGGGGCTCCTTAATCATGGTGTACAGCTCCTGACTTTTCCTCCATTTCAAATCTCCTATGATTAGAACACCAACATAGTTATGCCTGAGGATTCTTCTTTCAAATACCAGGAGTTCCTGTTCACAAGCCCGGGAAGTAGTCCAAATCTCACAGCCCTATAGCAAAGGGACAGGGCTCTCTGATTGTCGGAAAGTAGGTTCCCCTGATGGTCGTTGCAGATGTAAGAGGCATTAGAGTAGGGTTTTTGGCTCTTATTTTTTTATTTATTTTTTTCGACGCAGGGTTGCACCGTGGCCTCATGGAGGCCTATTGTATGTTATCCTAAACTCTTTTAAAACAGGCCAGATGCCTTTGCAAACTTGTTAATACTCATAGGATCTATTAGTTCGCAGCTCTTAAGGTCAGTGATACAATCACATCCAAAGTAAAAGTATCGTAGTCCAGCCAAATTATCATATCTACAAATAATATGATAGATAGGCTGTTTCATCCTCCAGGTCACACAGCATACATGTGGTTATTTAGTTGACAGTCCTCCTAGTCTGTTGCCAATGTAGCCTAAATTTATTACCAACAATTACCTTAATATGCCTTTTGGTACAGCCAAGGCTTATCCTACAGATGGGCTCTGGTGCAACCTGCTGTGTGCACTTGTGCCCTTCCTTGCAAGGCAATCAGCTTTCTCATTACCTGGAATGCCTCAGTTCCCAGGCACCCATTCTGGAGAACATTCTATCCTCACTTTGTTGGCACTACAGGGAAGGTTTAGATTACTCTTACATTCATCTACCAACTTAGAGCGCGTTGCATAACTATTCAGGGCCCCAATTGCCGCTTGGGATCACATCCTGGGTGGCCCCCCCCCCATGTCTTTCCTCCAAGGAGTTTTAAAAGCTTAAACCTGTTTTCTCCCAGGTATTTGCCTGCATAGGTTCTTGGCAAGGGAACATTATTATAATTGACTTCCAGCTCGTGCAATTTGGTTGATAATGTGAACAGTTGAAAATCAGTTTTCTGGGTGTTCACTGCCATTTCATTTGATTTGGTCCAAGTAAAAAGTCTTGTCATTGCCTCATTAATTGTTGCTTCGAGTGCTGTTATGCTGCTACTAGTAGCATATATTATTAGATCATCATCAAACAATAGAGCAGATATTCCGGGTATTCCTTCGAGCACAGCCACTAAGTCATCGATCATTATATTAAAACGTGTGGGGCTCAGAACAGATCCTTGGGGAAGTTCCTGTCTAAAAGATATGAAGCTTGAAAACTAGCCATTGTGTCTTACTCAGAGAAATCTCTGGGCCAAGAAGGATCGTATGGCTCTGTACATTTTCCCACCAATATTCATTTTGAGGAGCTTTTTCAGAAGGACTTTTCGGCAGACTTTGTCGAAAGCAGCTTTGAAATCAACATATACTGCAAGTGTATGCTGTTTCCGTTGGAATCCATCTTTTACATCCTCACTAAAACGAGCCATCTGCTCAGTTGTACATCGGTGACTTCGGAAACCTGCTTATTTTGATGACATCTTATTTTCCCTATCTAAATATATCTGCAGCCGGGCTAAGACCACTCTCTCATAGAGCTTAGAGAAAACACTTGTGAGCGAGATAGGTCAGTAGATAGATGGACAAGAGGAACTTTTGCCTTTTTTGAGAATTGGGATCACCTCAGCCTTCCTCCAGGCACAAGGATATCGTGATGTCCAGACAGCATTGAGAAAATCCAGCACTATGAGCTTAGCTTTCACATCTAGGTGTATAAGGAACTCTGACAATGTGTCATCAGGGCCACCGCTTTTTCCCTTCTTTGTTTGTACCAGAGCTAGTTCAAGCTCTTCCTTTCTGAAGTCGTCTTCAAAATGTTGGCTTTCAGAAAGGTCAAAACATAAGATTGGTGGTGCGATATTAATTCTCTTATTTTCTTCTTCTGGTTTATAGTTAGAGGAGCTGGCAAAGAATTTACAGAAGCTCCTTGCTATTTCAAGTCCAGAAAATATCTCCTTGTTATTAAACTTAAGAGGGTTGTTCCTTGGGTCTTTTCCCCCATTTAGCTTTGAGATGAATTGATATGCTTTTATCCCATCTTGACGAAAGTCGAGACTAGCCAAATATTCTCTAAAAATCTTTCGTTTGGCTTGAATTATATTCAACTTTAAGTTTGTTGTAAGTTGTCTTAGCCTAACAATGTCTTCCATTTTTCTTGACCTTTCTGCATTTTTTCTTGCTGCATCCCTACTTTCTTTTAGTTTTTGTAGATTATCACTCCAGAATGGAGTGTATCTCTTCATAAATCCCCGAGGGATAGACTGCTTTGCACACTCGAGAATTGCCGCTTGAAGTCGTGCACAGCTTGTATCTACACTTTCCGTAATGGTTTCAGGAGTAATGGCTGTGTGAGTGAGTTGCGAGAACTTTTTCCAATCGCCCTTTTTTAAATTCCATCTGAGCATTCGTGGTACTGAACTATTACTTGAATTTGAGTGGCCACTAATGTATGCAAACATTATTTTGTGACATATTCGGGGGTGCAGTTTGCGTTGGCCTGGCTTAGTGCTGGCGCCATGAGTCGCTTTTGGTAAAACTGGACGTCTGGCGACTATGTGATCGTTTGGTTGGTTATCCAGGGGCACAACGAGGACGAGATCACAACACCCTCATGCAATAAATGTTGTAGTAACCATGTGTGAGTAATTTTGCTAAATTTGACATTTTTAATGTTTTAAAATTTTGCTATGTAATCAAAGGAACTTTCGAGGGCCGGATCTGTTTGGAGATCTCATTGTTTGGAGATCCCTGGCATAAAGGATTAAGGGTCTAATCATAGTCCTGTTTAGCTATAGAGCTATATTGGGTTTTAGCCTCCACGGTTTGCCAACAACTCTTCTGCACGCCCACAGACAGCATAGAGCCTTACCGCTAATCTTTCCAATATGACTCAGTCAATTCAACTTACTATCTAGAGTAATCCCAAGATCTTTTACTTCACTACAGATAGTTAATGATGACCCATTTAATGATGGTGGTCTAATATTGACGTTACTTCTGTTATTGAAGACACATAGATTTATCTTCTGTGTTTCTAGGTTTTTATTTATTATTATTTAGTTATTATTTTACTTTTGTTAATTTTATATTTTTTATATATATGGTGTGAATGTGTTCATTTAGCACTATAATTATTATCCTCGAAACAGAATATTATATGTCGAAATAAATAAATAAAACCATCTTCTGTAGATTTATGCCAAGCCCATTGTCCTGGCACCATTCTTTTAGAAGTCTCATCGTGTTTACCAGCAATCCAGTGATTTTATCTGGAAATTTTCCCCCTATCAATACAGCAATATCATCAGCATACCCCTGAAAATAAAACCCCACCATAATCAATTTAACAATCAGGGAGTCGACGACCAGATACCACAAACTTGGAGACAACAAACCTCCCTTGTGGACACCCTCCAACAGGTTTAACCCACAGTATGAGTGTCCCAACTCAGATTTAAGGTCTCTCCCCCTCAGAACCAAATTAATCCATTCCAAAGCCAAGAGTCCAACCCCTCTCCTAGTCAATGTTGTAGCCATTGCATCCATCCGTCTGCATGTATGAGATTTGATGAATTCTGGACGTGAATTTATTTATATCACTGCAAAAATGTCTCCATGCCCCACTTTTTCCCCTGCATATGACCTTATTCTATTCAGTGAGAGCACGCTTATAAGTATCCCATCTTCCCATACTTTTGGCAGCATTAAAGAGTTTTCTAGTTTAGGCTCTAAGCTTGCCAAGTACATGGTTCCACCAAGAAACATTCCTGTTGGACCTAACATAACAGACACAGATATTGTCAGTGTAGGACCCCATAATTACCTCAGATAATGGGGAATTGGGGCATTCCAAACAGTTCCTAATAGTCTTAGGATAACATTTGACTTCTTCCTCGAGCTGTATGCAGTATCTATCCCAATTTGTTCTTTTTGGGTTTCTGTATACAGTCTCAGTCACATTATATCCAGACAATTCAAATCTGATGTAACCATGATCAGAGCATGATCCTTTATCAGAGACATGCCATCTCCTTATCCTTTTTAGAGCCACCGTTGGGATATCTTCTTCATAGGGGAGATCTTTACCCTCGGAAAGGGCTAATTGAGGTGAAGCCAGGTCTCTGAAACAATGATGCCACAGAGGCATCAGCTTTATTCTATTCTTGAACAGGATACAGGTTATCAGACCCTCAAGCACTGCAATAATGATTCACCCAGACATGTCCAGCCCCCTAATCCTATTATTAATATCCTAATACAATGCGGGGCAGGGGATTAATGCCAGAGTTAAAAATCCCCCTGGGCACCGGGATTCTAACTCGTAGTTATTTTATCATGTATAACTTCGGTTATCAGGTTGCTGGACAACATGTGGTGCTGTGCTCTTGTCTTAGCCCGTTTGGCCACCCAACCCCTCATATAAATGTGTTAGCATCAGAGTACTGTTCCCGCAAACTGGAGGACCAGTGGCTATCTGCAGTACTAGGAATGGAGATGGGACCAACACCTCTATGCCTAATCAAAATATATTACTTAAAAGAATTTTTCTTTGGGGGTGTTGGGAGGTGAAAGAAGGAGTAGCAAAATTAAGCATGGCAAAAATTGGTATTGTACTATTGAAGCATTTGTTGTCGTGTAGGGGCTTCCATATGGATTACTCCAAATTGCGTGCCCTTGCCCATCTTAAGTTCCACACCTTCATATCATGAGATATAGATTGACCAGTTTTCTTTTTTTTACTTTCCTTTAGTTATAACCTCTATGAATGAATGAAAAAAAAAATGAAGTATATAAATAAAAATTCAAGTATGTCAAAAAAGTAGACCCATATTTGATATTGCTACATGCAGTGTGGCATGCATCTTATTTTGGGACAGTGCATTTGACACTAAGTTAAATTTATATATATATATATATATATATATATATATATATATATTATATATATATATATATATATATATATATATATATTATAAGAAGTTTTATTTTTTCAGTTGTCTCACTCAATTAAAAACAAACCCAGCCTTTGTGAAGCAGGAACTAGTCACAAAATCTCATGGTCCATCTTCAAGGTAATTATTTTTAATGCAATTAAGGATATCATTGTAGTGTATAATATGGCATTAGGGCCTGTTGCATTTGCTGAGTATGATTAACTTCCAACAGATGGATTTTAGGATAGTGGAAAGTATGTCGTAGGACACATGGGAAAAAAAGAAGTTTTCAGGATTGAAATTATGGTGTTCAATATCATGAGTAGGAGAAGGATTAGAAGCAAAAGATAAGAAATGGTCATTAAGATCATCTGGAGCCACATGGAGGGAAATGAGGTTATTGGAATCTGGTAGGGATAGATTACAAAGTATTTTCCATTTCGATTTGGAATCGGGAGCATTGGAAAGGGCATTATGGAAGTAGTTGGAATGGGGATTGGGTTGCATTGCGAAGTTGTTTGAAAGACACATAATCAGCAGATAAACGGGTTTGATGGTATTTGCACATTGCTGCATTCCTTCTCTTCATCATTCCCTTTATTTCAGGAGTCAGCCAAGGAGCAGTGGGATGACGTAAGATTCTGGTTTTCAGAGGAGCATGGATGTCTAATATGGATTGTAGGTTTGAGGTAAGGATGGATATCATAGGGTCAATGGAGGTATAGGAAAATATGGTATCCCATTGGACAGAATCAAGGTCAGGTTGAAGGGGTTCATATGAAGGAGGTTTAAATTGCAGTATGACACTATTTTGGGAGTAAATTTCATGGGATGAGTAGGCTGTACGAAATTTGGATCAGGTCGTGTGATGATAGAAAGGGTACAGGGTGTTGAGAGGAGGGGAGGAAAGGATTTTAAGGGGTGAGTTAGAGATGTGGATATCTAACCAGGTGCCAGAGTACTGCATGTGATGAGTGGAAGAATAAGGGACAAGGTAAAGATTGAGAGAAAATATTTGGTCAGTGAGGAAATATTTTTCGGGAGATTCTGAGAGCATATTTACATTAAAATCGCCGGAGATGATGACATTGGAGTAGGTGCAAACCAGATTGACATGGGAGGATTCAAAAAGATGGTCGAATGGTACACGAGGAGGGGGTTAGACTATAATATATAATAAAGGAGAGGAAACAGAGGAAATTTCAACAAACATATAATCAATGTGAGGGAAGTTATGAGAGGGGGACTGTAAAAGGATTTTGACTTTAAGACTATCATGTACATATTGTCTGATACCACCTCCCGTGCGATCTAATCTATTATGACGTAGGAAAGAGTAATTGGGTAGGGAAATTTGGAAGGAAGGGATGAAGGATTTTAGCCAGGTTTCAGATACTGCTATTACGTAATAAAAATTATCTAGGAAATATTTCTGAAATTCATCCAAGTGGGCATTAAGAGATTATGCATTGACATGACAGGAGTTTAGGATATTGGTCATAACTGAGATGTTGGGAAGGAGAGTTGTGGGGAAGAGGATCGAGGAAGGAGAGTAGGATATAACAGTTTTTTAAACAAAATATTCATTTTTGCAACAGAAAAGAAAATATAAACATAAATTAAACTTTGAAAAGAAAGAGTTAAAATCATATAGACTCGAATAAAAATAAGTATAAAGAATTAATTTATGATCTAAAAAAATATAAAGATGGCTTTGACTACAATAAATTATAAAAAAAGAACATTTAGTCAAAAAAGTCCAGCTGGAACGAAATTGAAGAAGGTAACTCACAAAAATTAAAATTAAAATATTTTTGATGGTAAAGAATAAAATTGATACAAATTTTGGGAGACTTACATACAAAATTCAAATAAAAACATGCTAGTCGCTAGGTTTACCTATAACCACTGCCCGATATCTGTCTGAGTGTCTGCATCGAATTTCACCACCACTGAACCACACGTATTTTATCTTTGCCATCATCTTTTTTGTCTGGCTAACCAGTAGAGATGTTTATTGGCAGAGGTCATTGCTTCGCTCACTTAAACCCGCTGCGAATCGTTGTCCCCCTAGCCTAGATGGTGTGTAGAGAAGTCTCTTTTCGTTCTTCTCTGCTGCAGCATTTCTTCTTTTGTTGTTTGCCTAACGAAGCTAACAATGATAGGGCCTGGAGTCCCTTCCTGCTTTGGTTTGAGTCTCACTATGTGATCCAGATTGTCTGGACTAACTTGATGCCCAGACCAACTCCGACGCTATGGATGGTCCCAGTCACAGTCTCACCCGGCTATTTCCTCGAATTTCAATTGTATTTTTTAACTGATATTGCTCAGTATAATTTAACCAACTTTCCAGGTCCGATATTTTTTTCTTTAATGTGTTATTTTCGATAGATAATTTTTCGACGTGTTTTTTCTCTTCCTCCAGCAGATTTAAAACTCTTTTCCCATTGTCATTGCACTCTTCATGAATACTGTGGAGGCCAATGATTGGTATTCATATTTCTTTCTTCACGATTTTAGCATTTAAAGCCCCCAACAGTATCTTTATGTCACTCCTAGGGCATACGTCATGAGCTCTTTCTAATGTGTGGTAGAAGTTCTCCTTCTCCTCTTCGCTCGATACGTCGGTAGGGGCATGATAGCTGATAAGGCTGTAATTATAAAACACTCCTTTGATACGAAGAGTACAAATTCTTTCATTAATGGGAGAGAATCCAATAACTTGGTGTCTCATTCGCCCTCTCACTATGAATCCAGTTCCGAACATATGATTCTTTCCATGGCAGCTATAATAGATGGTGTGGTTCTTCTCAATAAGACCGCTGTCCACCCAGCGGACCTCCTGGATAGCGGCTATATCCACTTTATAGTTGTCCAATTCTGTTAAGAAGACCTGAAGTCCTCCTAGTCTGTATAACGACAGGATATTGCAATATCATAGTCTAAAGTCCATTTGAAGTTTTCCATATCTATTACCATTGATCAGTCCAGCTTTATTTCTTTGAGTTCTCATAACAGTTTATATTTGAGGAGATTGGGTTATTAGCCCACTATTCACGAGTCAGGTGGAGGGGTTGCCTCCTCGGAGCAACCTGACTTGCTCCCCCTCCCATGTAAGGAAGCCCTAGGGTGAGTAGTGTAGGTGTCCGCTGTAATCTATACAATTAAATATTTAATAATACCAACAAAATCATTTATGAAAACCATGTATGTATATGTACATAATATTGTCAGAGTCCAAATTACATTAAGCTCGTGTTACGTATGGAAGCCTGCTCTAATAATGATTTCGACAAAACTTCCATCCTTGCCTCCGTCCTTAACCATGACAAACGACTGATTTCTGAAACCCCCCACATCCAGCTCCAACCTAAGACAGTGAATCTAAAAACAGACAAACAAAACTTATCCTTAGCCTATTCCCAAATTTTGAATTTATTAAAACATCCATAGCTATATTCTTTTCTTTTTTGCTGACAACTTCCTTATTGTCCTTATTCCTATATATATATATATATATATATATATATATATATATATATATATATATATATATATATATAGATATGATATGTATTAATTTCAATTATTCTCCATTATTACTTAACAGTTATTATCTCTGTTTTATTCTTTTTCCAGATTTTTCCATCCTCTTTCTATTTAACTTTCGTTTAATTATTCATAATATTTATGAGTAATATATCTCTCGTCCTTTATTTACGCTTCCGGTACATTAGTTCAAACTTCGTCAAACAACCGTTAGAGATGTCGCCACAATACATTTCCTCTCTCCCCCTCCCTTGGTACCATATTCTCACTTCTCCAACAACCTTTTTGCGAACAGGTTTGTTTTTTGTTTTTTCTCTTTCTTATTTCAGCCTTCTCGGTTTTTTTCCTCCTTCCTTTCATTCCTTTGCTCTGTTTCAACTATTTATTATATTATACGTTGTCAGTACATTTTGATAGACTTTACAATATCTCAATTTTCTATCTAACTATTCTATTTGCAATATCTTAATTTTACTATTTATTTTCATTTCTTATATAACTTCATATTTCTTTTTTTTCTTTTTTCTGTTTTACATTTTATTCTAAGATTCCCAATTTAATACTTATTTCACCTTTTTTGATTATGTTTACTTCATCATTCCACACATTGTAACGGTTATTATTATTTATCTCTTAGTTCTTAACATTATTCTACCAACTTCATTTTAGTTAAATTTTTTTATCTACATTACTCATGTTTCTCATACCTTGTTATCTGGTTCTTTTCTTAGCCCTGATGAAGGCCTGAACTTCAGATCGAAACGTCGGCAAATGTCAAATTAAATGTTATTTTTGCCTTCTTATTTCTGACTGATCACCCCAACTATTCTTCTCTTCATTATTCACAACAGTCAACCATTTACCCACAATTATGGAACTATTTTTTATATCAGAGATCAATGTGAAATGGTTAATTGTTTCAAATAAAAAAAATTAAAAGTACTTTAGGGGAATCTAATATTGAAAATTAACCATTTAAGCCCTGTTAGAGAACATAAAACCTACATAATATTAAAAACTGCTTAATTTTACACTGATATTATGAGTTTAATTAAAATCGTTTGAGCCATTTTCCAAAAAATCGTAAAAATGTGTTACTTCGATGATATAAAGTGCCACTTCCAGTTAGCCGATTTTGATGAGTTGCTGTAACATCCCAGGCATATAAAAACCTTACATATGCAATTTAACCTTTATACAACTTTTTGTTTTTGATCTAGACTGTTAATACATACAGACCATTTTGCAGGAGTTGGTTATTTGGGCTCAAGGGACCTCAAAATGTCTATTTCCGTTGAAAACTGAGATTCGAAAATTTTCACAATCACAATACTTTACTATATATTTCATTTATTGATAAGTGAAAGTAATAAAATTTATTATTATTATTATTTTTTTTTTCACGAACAGGCCTTAAAGACCACGCGAATATCACAAATTTAATGCTTTCTCTTCATCTGCTTCTTTTTCTCCCATATGCTCTTCATGAGCTCCTCGTGCTTATGTTTTCTCTCCTCAGACCACGCAACATCCTTTTTGGAGCGCTTCATTCCCGCTATTCCCGTTATTCCCTTGAGCGCCTTCCTGTACTCATCTCTGTCCAAACAATCTTGATCTCTTAGCCCCACTTGGTCCATATCATCCTTAACCTGTTTGAAATACCCGCTTAAATTTTTATGACTGTGGATTCGCTGAAATATTTTATGGTTAAGTCTTTCAGGATTCATCCTCATCATATGGCCATTTATATTATTATTTTAATATAAATTATTTGAAACATATCAATTATCGAACATTAATTTATTAATGTTCGATTTATATGTATTTATTTATTAATGTTCGATTCTATGTATGTATGTATGTAACAATTACATACGTACATACATAGATGGCGCTACATCCCGTAACCGAGACTGGGCTTCCTTCTCACGCCTGACATTAGCAAGAGACCCCCTCTGGTAAATAGTGGAAGCATCTTATAATATAATTCTTGTTTAAAACTACCGATCTTTAAGGATCTGTAAGGAATATTTACCATTTTTTGAATCAAAATTTGTACATGAACTTATGCTTCTCAAACTAGTGTTAATTGACAAAATCAAAATTAATTAATTACTATTTTATAATACACTACAGCCTCAGTTGTGCTTATCCAATGAAATATTTAAGATCAACTTACTTTTAGTCCGATTCCATCACATACAGAACTTTAATGAATCTGTTTGTTTTCTTCATTAATATAACAATATTCTCAATATGTATACTTGATACTAATTAAACTAACTACACAAATTAACAAACATTAAACTAACACAAACAACTGAGTCTTCTGCAGCTCTCAAAGAAGGCTCACACTTCCATGACCGATCCTTTGGTTGCTCTCTTGTTGATTTGCAGAAATAGCCTCTTCTCTTATTTTTTTTCTCGTGCAGAAATCTGACAATTTGGTCCACATGGCATTTGCATATAATACCATCGTCTGTTTCAACTAAAAATGTGACAGTTGACAATTGCTTTTTTATTCTTCCTCGAGTCCTCTTATTTGCGGCATTTATGCTAAAATCATTTATCATTACTCCATTATTTACCTGAAAGTTGATACAACAAGATGATTCTGAAAAACTTCTGGCCATTTGCTGTGGGCATCTATGACAACTAAAAACATCCTATTTCGTAAAGGACCTAAGAAGTTAGCGCGTAGTCGAGACCAAGGTTTGCTTGGATAAGGCCACTGCGAATTCGCAATTTTGGTTGGATTCTTTTAATTTGCAACATAGGTGAAGCAAATTCAAACATAATTTTCAATATCTAAATCCAAGTTCGGCCACCAAAAATAAGATCTTGCCATTTGCTTCATCTTGGTTATACCAAGATGTGATATGTGTAAATGCTTTAGTAAGATGAGCCGAAGGGATTCTGGTATAATCATTCTTATTCTCTACATGAGACATCCTTTATCCAGCGATAATTATAGTTTCTTTGAGAAAAACTTCTTTTTGATATCAGATCAGTCTTATTTTCAGTTGGCCACTCCGCGGCTACCCAATTTATCACCTTGCTTAATATTTTATCTTTCACTGATTCAATGACCACTTGTTTGTAATTCAACAAAGGCATACCCTTTTCTACATAGTTAACAGCTATAAATTCTGAACCAAATACTGGAGTGTGGTCATTTAAAAGCAATCTTGACAACGCATCACAGTTACCGTTTCCAGAGGACCTTACAACTTCTATACTGTATGTGAATCCTGAAAAATAATAAGCCCATCTTTGTAATCTATTTTGAATTGTGACTGATGGATTTTTGTATTTTCCAAAAATGTAATTTAAAGGTTCATGGTCTGTTCTACGAATTATGTGAGCTCCATAGATATACTGGTAAAATTTTTTGAAGCCAAAAATGATGGCAGCAGCTTCTTTATCAATGATTGCCCTATGCCTTTCAGTTACCGGAATTACTTTCGACGCAAATGCTATGGGTTTTTCTTCTCCATTCTTGAATTTATGAGAAAGGATCACTGACAGTCCATATTGACTGGCACCACATGGCAGGACTAATTGTTCATTTGGATCAAACAATGACAATACTTTATCTGACACGATTCGCTTCTTGATCCATTTGAAACTTTCCTCACATTCTTCGGACCAATACCACTTTTTTGACTTCAGCAGATCATAAAGACAAATCAGTTCATCAGCTCTGTGCTTCAGAAATGATTCATAATAATTCACCAATCCAAGAAAACTTCTTAACTGTTTGCAATCTTTAGGCCTTGGAGTATCCGTAACTGCAATAACCTTACTTTCTGCTGAATGAATTCCTTGTTTATCCAGAACAAATCCTAAAATCTCCAACTTACTTTTTAAAAATTCACACTTTCTTTCATTTACTTTTAAGCCTGCATCATTTAAGCTCCTAAATATTTCGGTTATGATAGAAATGTGCTCTTCAACTGTTCTACCTGTACAATAAATATTATCAATGTAAATTTCAGTGTAAGGAATTTCCATTAAAATTTTCTGACATTCTCCAGGGCTGGACTCCATACCCTCAGGTAGTTTGGTAGTTTGAAATAAACCTTCATCTGTAACAATCGTTAGTGCTTCTTGGGAACTTTTATCAACTCTGAATTGCATGAATGCATGTGCTAAATCAATCTGGGACCATTTACTACCTGCTTGTAATTTACTAAAAACCTCTTCTTTACTTGGCACAGGTTGACATTAGATAACTAAATGTGGAGTGACGGTTAACTTTAAGTTACCACACATTCTAACTTCCCTATTCGATTTCAGAACAGGCACTATAGGTGTCACCCAATTACTAACCGTCACAGGCTCTAGATTACCTACCGAAATTAATCTTTTTACCTTGTCTTTAAGTGCAAAAGGCACCCTTTGTGGTTTCAATTGTTCAGGCACTGCGTCTTTTTTAAAAATTAATTTAATCTTTTTTCTAGTATAAACTCCTTGCCCTGGACTAAATAATTTCGGGAATAATGATTTAACCTTAGCAATTGCTTTCTCACTTGTCTCCTCTAAATTACAATAATTTAATTCTAGCTTGAATGGCCACAGACCAAGTTTGTTAAGCCAGCTTCTTCCCAACATAGAGGGACTTCTCTCTGGTAAAACATAGCATTTTATATCATTTACTGCTTTACCATTAAATGACGCTTCCAAATTTGTTGGCATCCCTATAGGCTTCAAATCGTTTTTACCATATGTCATTAAGATTAGTTATGTCAGGTTCAACCATTGCTAAATGTTAAAAATATCGATCTTTCGACTCTTTTGATATCACTGTTAAATATGATCCGGTGTCTACTTCCATTGTAATTTTAACTCTGTTTATTAACAAATCAATAACCAACGGTTCCGACTTGGACTACACATTCATCGAATCCGCTTTCGATAATTCAATATCCCCTAAAAGAATTGATTCTAAGTGAAAAAAATCTTGTTCATTATTACTGTCTTCTTCTGTTTTTATGCACCCTTCCAAATAATTTACTCTTTGTTTTACTTTTTGGTTCCGTTTTTTTCGACACATTTTTCCCAAATGCCCCCTGACATTACAAAAGTTACACACTTTAAATCTGTGGATACATTCTCTGGCATAGTGACTGTTAATCTCACCACAACTAATATATTTTTTTATTGCTATTAAATAATGATGGATGTGTATTACCTTTTTTAATTAAGTTTTCTTTACACTGCATCTTCCTATAACTAGAGTTAATTCTAGACTTCTACCTTTAGGTGTTTTGTTGCTGTTTGTATTTTCTCTTATCATATAGTTTACTTGCGATTACACGTTATCCGATGAGTTGCTAGTGCCTGCCGTGTTAGAAGCACTTTCCATTGCCAGTTCTCTGGTCTCTGCAATTTTCAAAGAATCTGAAAATGAAACCTTCACTTTTCTAAATAACTCAACTCGTGTCTCATGATTCTTTATACCACAAACTGATCTCTTAGTGACATCTCTACATCAGGATAGTTACAGTGCATAGATGCTCTTTTCAAACGGGCTACAAAATCATTTATTGTTTCTGATGCTAACTGATATGTACCATCTTTTTTTATTCATTTTAACTTTATTGTATTTTTCACCCTATGTCACACTAAGTACTTCAATTATTGCCAGGCAACCTGAGAAAATTACAAGTTTGAGCCCCGGTGCTGGGGGCTTGTAACTTTGGCATTGATTCCTCACTCTCTCCTCGGACCCAGGAAAAAACCTGTATAGCCAAAGAGGCGAGGTAGGAGAAAGAAAAGTAATTAAATCGTGTCATTCTCTCTCTCTTTCTCTTTCTCTCTCTCTCTATCTCTCTCACACGCACTTCAATTCTTATTTCCTCTTTAATTTGAGCTTTTAAGTTTTCACTTATAAATAAGTAATGTTAAGTTGTTTCCATGATATCGTTTTTAAGCCTGGAATAGTCGCATTATAATTATAAAAATGAATTTGTTGTAAATGGTGATGAAAAAATAAAATAGTGTAACATAGAGAAAGCAAAGGCAATGTAAAATATGGATTGTTGCAGGAAAATTTTTCTTGAAAATGAATGATCTTGGCCAAAGAATTGAAAAATGATTAAATAGAGGTGTTTTTTTAAAAATGTGGATGTTAATTCAAATTCCTGAAACCCATTAAGTAAAAAAATATATGAAGAACCTTCAAAGCTATTAATATAGTTATAATTGAAGAGAAGTTGATGGGGGTATTCAGCCAACTTCTCTTCAATTATTCACTACAGTCATCCATCATACCACTATTATAATATAGTTATAGATGACATAAAGTTATTTAATATAGCTGTATTTAATTATTTGCAGTACCCTTGGAACCAAATGCACAGATCAGTTGCTTGTAGCTGTTGGTCACAAATTTCAGAGTTCGGGTAAAAGGGAGGAAGAAAAAGTATCCATTAAACAATGTAAACAAATTAAAAACGTTGATAAAAACGACCAGAAAGACATCTTCTTGCTTGGTAGATATGTTAGTCACATCTACAAATATCTGTTAGATCTTGAAGTAAGTACAATAGTTTTTAACTTTTTTATTCATACTGAAAATAACTTAATTATTTTTACTTTTGTTTTGCATGCTCTTGTACTGTTTCTTACTTTTTTTTTTTTTTCTCTTGTTTGTCTACCTCTAATGCCATTCCTAGCTTCAAGGGTCCTCGATTCAATGCAGCCATGCCTCTTGGTCTCAGCTAAGCTGCCTCATTTTGTGGAGTTTTCCCTCTCTTCCCTCCAATCCACTGTATATACTCCTGGTAAGAAATTCTGAGCTGGCCTCGGGGTCTCCTTCCAGAGGGTTGAGCTTCCATAATTTTCCGAGGTTCTCTTTCATCCTCCATCCGACAAACATGACCAAACCACTTCAGTTGTCGATTTTCAAGTGTAGTCTTTAGCTCCACCACCACCAGCTCCTACCATATCCGTTTATTTCTGAAATGGTCCCTTCTAGTCTTACCAATGGCTCTCTGCAGAAGATTCATCTCAGCATTTGTCACCTAGGTGTTTGTCCAGCATAGCCTAACTTTCACTTCCGTAAGTCAAGTTTGGTAGGTACACAGAATTGTATATATATTGTTAGTAATGATATTATGTTAGTAAAGATATATATTGTATTTATCTTTACTAACATCTCTGTCCCATTATCGTGTTGAAGATTGGGTAATGGATTTCATCCATAAATATGATGAACATGAGGGGAGTGAGGCTGTCTCTCTGCCTCACCTTTTTCTATGGGAAAAGGCTAGGACTCTCTTCCGTTGATCTTTACAACTCCTTTCACTTCCTGATAAACTGATGTAATAGCTGTGACAAGATCTCCTGGAACATTTTTTTCTTTCAAAGCATCCCATATTTCTTTTTTAGGTACGGAGTTGAACACTGCTTTAAGATCCACTAATGCCATATTCATGTTCTTGTCTCTGTGATGCTTCTCAGTATGAAGATCTGATCCTGAGTCAAACTTCCTGGACGAAAGCCAGGACGTATATTGAAGCTCAAAATAGAAGAAGACAAAATCATATATTTAATACAAAAGAAAATTTTTGTATAAACTTATAAATCCTAAAGAGAATCCTAATTAAGATGTCTACCCATACCCTTCAGAAATATCGGAGTATTGGAAAAGAATTTGGGTAGAAAAAAATGTTATAACAGCAATGCATATTGGTTGGAAGTTCCCAATATTTTTAAATTCCTATTTCTACTCAAAGTAGTGTGGTAATTAAAAATTATTTAAAGTAGAAATCGCACCAGATTTTTATGGCCTCCAATCTTTGTTCATTGCTTGGAAAAAAGTCCAAAGGCACAAGATCAGGGCTATAAGGGGGATGCATTAGAAGTTTGACGGCATCCATTTCTGCAAGTTTTTGATTTGTGTGTCAGGAAGTGTACCGCTGGTCATTGTCCTGCTGCTGTAAAACATTCTTCCTAATTACCCAAGCCTGGTATCAGCTATCGGAGGCATAGTTTCAACAGCTGCTAATTTTTTCCCCAATAATTTCACCAAATTACTTAACTTTCATACATCAACGTCATTTTGATTGAAAAAATATCAAACAAATACTGGGCCTCACAGAGTGTCATTTTGTTTATTAAATGATTTTTTATAGCATTTAGATAATAAAGATACCACTAACAACAGCATTGGAATTAACAGAGTAAGAAAGAAATGTTAATAAATATTGACTAATAAAAACAGTCATTATATATATGGAAAACTTTTTTTTGTAGGCCAACTTAATAAACACCATTAATGACTGCATTTCCTGGCTATTTTCATTGTTAAAAATTTAATAGTTTTTTTTATAATCAACTACATCTCCATCACTAAAATATTTCTTTTATTTGATTAATATACGAGTAAAAAAAATTTTATGGCTGAAAATAAAGATTTGTTTTCTTTAAGGTGAAACTTCCCATAGAGCAAGACTTTTTGAAAGGAACATTAATTACCAGTAATATGAGAGCTACTCTAATAGATTGGCTACATGATGTTCAGATACATTGCCAGTTTTTATTGGAGACTTTTCATTTGGCTGTGTCCATTTTAGACCGATACCTTCAGGTACATATACATTTTACATAATATTTATTGTAAGATCATAATAATCATAATTTTCTTTCCTGTTTCCTTCCTCTCCTTTTATTTTTTCATCTTCCTTAATTTCATTTTTTTTTTCTTGTGTGTCAGTATGAATTCTGTACTTTCTAGATTTTTCATCTTTCTTCTGAGAAACTTTTATGAAATGATAAAATTTTAGAGGAATGTAGTAAAAAAATAAATAAAATAAATGCATTAATAAAAATGTACCTTTTTCATCAAATATTCTCTCATGTGCAAATATTTAGTAGTTGTATTTACATTTTAATAAAAAATTTAACATGTGATTATTTGAGGCTTTATCTCAGATCATTACCAGAAATAAATATGAACCAATGAAAAAAAATCAAAGGGGAATGGAGAGGATCTTCAGCCCATAGATCTGCCAGTGATTTCTGTGAAATACTTTTTCACAAGAAGTGAGCATTTTCAGGATTTTTCCAGGAGAGATCTTGCATATTTTGGATAAATTTCCATATTTATAAAAAAAAAGCTTTTAAATAGACCTATTGAAACCAGTTGCACGTGTAATACACACAGGGCGAGGAGTTTTTAATGATTACTCTGGTTATGCATCCGAAATTCAACAAGCCATTGTTGACCATAAAAAATTTCTATTTATTGGGTTTTTCATACTGATAAGCTAAATTTTTCATGCCATATGTTGTAATTCCATAAGATAGAATAGAATAGAAGAATCAACTTAGACTGGGACAAAGTCCCTTGAGAATAACAATTTTGTACATAAAAATTAACATAACATCTGGCCAAAATGCATATTACAATAAAAAAACCTAAAAAATAAGTAATAAAAGAAGTATTTACATTACTATACAGATATATTAAAGACATAATATGAGCAATAAGGTCCTAATATTGCAAAATAGTTGCTATAAACAATAAACTATGGAATTCTAAATGAAATTTGAAATGAGTGACAAATTACTTTTGTTGTCATGCCATTGTATTAATGAAAAAAATAATAATAAAAGAGTGGATAAATATTTACTTTAAATGATTTACATATGTACCTAAATATGTTCAAATAATACAATAATAGTATTGTAAACATAAATAAGTCCTATTATAATCTAAATCCTAAGATGTTGATTGATCGGAGAAAATAAAAGATAATATACATATAGAGGAGATTATATACATATATAATATACATGATAAATGGCTACCCAGCATCTGATTGAATTGTAAGGAGGAATTGGAATAAGAGCGTTTGAAATATGAATAAGAATGGTGCATGGCAGATTTTAAGTGGGATGGAATTCCAAAAGGTGGTGGAGCGGACAGTAAAGGAGTGTTGAAATGAGGCCGATTTGGGGAAAGGTATAAAAGGTATAAAGGTCAGAAGAACGAGTTCTTGTGGAGAGGGAGTGGATAGATGACTTGAATTGAAAGAGATTGAATGCGTAGGACGGACGATGATTATAGATTATTTGGTAAAGGAATGTACCTAGGAAATACTGTCTTCTGAAGGAGGGAAAGAGCCACCCTAACTCGGCGTAGTAGTGGGAAACATGAGAACATCTCGAGGTTCCATTGACAAATCGTACTAAGCCATTCATGATTCTTTTCAGTCTGTCTCCAAGTTCCGATGAGAGGCCACCGTACACTACGCAGCCGTAGTCAATGTGAGGGAAAATGAGGGCGGATACTAGGAGTCTACGTGTGGACATGGGTAGGAGATGGCGGAAGCGATGGAAGAGTTTCAAGATGGAAATTGAACGTGCCACTCCTGAGGACAGAGTTAAATAGGATGATAAAGGTTGGTTGGGTATAGAGACTGCTTGGGTGCGTTGAGAGAGGAATGATTGAAACCAAAGGATAGAGCTGTTGGAAAAGGATAACGATTTCAATTTGGAGAAAAGGATGGAGTGGTTAATGGTATCAAAGGCTTTGGAAAAGTCTAGGAGTACAAGGACAGTTAGTTTTTGTCATCTATGGCCGACTGAACATCACTAATGATTTTGATTAATGCGGATTGTGTGGATGTGGAGTAACCTGGTCGAAAACCAGACTGGTAAGGGTCAAGTTGGTTGGACTGTTCTAGAAAGTTGGAAACTTGGGATTGGGCTATTCGTTTTAGAGGTTTTGCAAGGTTAAAAAGGATTGAGATTGGACGGTAATCTTCAGGGAAGAAGGATTAGGATTTTAAAGTAAAGGACGGACAATGGCTTTTTTCCATGAGGAAGGAAATATTGAGTTCTGAAGGGAGAAATTGTAGATGAAAAGGAGAGTGGAAAGGATTTCAGGTAGGCACAATTTGATTAATTTGACAGAAATACCATCTGGACCAATAGAATTGGAATGAGATTTCATTACGGCGGATATGGGGTCTGTAGGAGAAATATCTGAAAAATAAAAGTTGTTGTCGTTTAATGATATTCCAAGAGTAAAGAAGGAAGAGGTTGATGGAGGAATGGAAGAGGAAGCTGATATAAAATATAAATTTAAATCATCAGGTTTGACTGGAAAGACTGCTGAGGAAGGTGATCTAGAAGATTCACAGAGGGAGAGTTTAGGAAGGAGTAGCCAATTGGTTTTGGAATCAGGAGCTGATGAAAGGGCTTCGTGGAAATAGGTGGATTTGGCTCATCGGATTTTGGTTTGTGTCGGGTTATGGAGCACCCTAAATGCTTGGTAGTCGTCAGCGAGCCTAGTACATCTAAAGCGTCTACGGGCAGCATCACGTCTCTTCTGAAGATCTTTAATTTGCTGACACATCCAGGGAGCCGGGGGCGATGAAAGATCGAGGTTTTAATGGGAGCATGGGCATCGAGGATATTAAGGAGGTTGGAAGTGAAAATGTCTACCATAGAGTCAATACAGGAACAGGAATATATTCCACTCCAATCAAGCGTTTCCAGGTAGGGTAAGAATTTTTCACGAGTGAGGACATCAATATTACGGAAAGTTATGGTTCTAGGTAGGATCGGAGGAGCATGGATATTATATGAAATTTGGATTAGGTCATGAAAGGATAAAAAGGAGACCGGTACTTGTGAGGAAGAAAGGAGGTTCTGAGAGGAGTCGATAATGTAATGGTCCAACCAACTATCGGATCTTGGGGTATGATGAGTGGAAGAAAAAGGGACAATAAAAAGATGAAGAGAGAAAAAAAGGTTTTCGACGTATGATTTATCGCTGGAGTCGGAAAGGAAATTAGTGTTTAGGTCGCCGGAAATGATTATTTGGGTATAAAGAGGAAGAAAGTTGAAGAGGGATGATTCAAATGACGGATCAAAGGGAACAAGAAGAGGTCTGTACACTACGACATAAAGAATAGGAGATATATCAAAGGCAATTTCCACGATTAGAAACTCTACATGTGGGTGATCGGGTGGAGGAGAGCAGTGGAGTATTCGAGTCTTCAGGCCTTCGTGAACATACAAAGCTACACCTCCGCCATTCCCGCTCTTCCGGTCTTGGTGGATTAATATGTAGTTAGGAAGCGATGTAAGGCTTGAGCCAGGTTTCAGAAATTGCAATGATATGGTAAAAATTGTGGGTAAAGTGTTCTAGGAACTCATCAAAATGGGCTGGGAGGGATTGGGAGTTGATTCAGGAAAATAAGGTCAGAATTCGGTGAACAGACGCTGGACCAGATATGATACATTAGATGAAATAATGTCAAAATTGAAATATAAGAAAAAATCCCATTAAAAAGGAAAAAAATTGTAAAAGTAATAATCAATGGAAATTAATTAATTAAAAAGTTGCAATAGAAACATAACATACAATCCTGATTTTCAATGTAAATCCTGTAAACAGGGATCAAAGAGTCAGCCGAAGATATCTAAGTCTTGACTCTGGTCGATAAAGACAACCTGATGACCGTCGTCCTTTGACATATTGTGAAATAATATTAATGTACCTTGGGCTGGTCCTTGTTTAATTGATTAATAATTTTGAGTAAATTTATGTTAAGAGCTATCAAATTCAGCTGAAAATTATTCCGGCCGTGCAGCCTTCTCAATGTTGCCACAAATCCTGAATTTCCCTTGGTGAAAATTCTTATTATGTAGGTGGTCATTGTAACTTGTATTTCTCTTACTTTCTCACTATTATTGATTATGATAAATCACACCTGGGTTCGATTTACTGCTTGCTGGTTTACATGGTTGATTTACTTATTTAAAAAACAATTTTGATGTTACAACAGTTATTATTGTCTTTATAATTTTAACAATGTTAAATTCATTTTCTAATTATTACTGACCTAGTTTTCTTTTTGTATGTTGCAAAATATGCTTTGTGTTGATAACTGATTTCTGTCTTAGGCTTAAATGTTTTTTTTTATTGTCATTATATATTTGTCAACTTATCTTCTATTTTTTTTATTGAATAAAGAGTATGATGGTGATTGGTCACTGTCCTTAAATTATGCTAATCTAATCAACTTTAAGGTAGCAATTAATAATCAGAAAGCTGTCTATAATACAATTTCCATTCTCTGTATTCATCTAAACTGTTACTGCCTTATGTTTCTTCATACAAGAAATTTCCTTATTATGAAAAATATTCATTATTTATTGTGTATTTTTAACAAATTTTATTATCACTATAATTCATTGATTATATATTTGTCATTGCAGGTGTCCGGTGTTATTCAGAGGAGAAACTTTCAATTAGTAGGAATCACTTCAATGTTACTAGCATGTAAATTTGAAGAAATTCATTATCCAGAAATTAGTGATATCATATACCTTACAGATAATACTTATACCAAAGTGCAAGTAGTAGACTTAGAAAAAGTTATAGTTCAAAAATTAGATTTCCGTCTAGGACGCCCAATTTCATTAACATTTTTGAGAAGATTCGGCAAAGTAGTGGAGGTAGTTTTGAATTTCATTTTATTTATCAATCAATTATTATATTTTATATTATACTGGACTTCAGTGAATTTTCTTATTTTGTTTTTTTATTAACGTTATCGCCTAGAGTATCATTAAATTATTTAATTGTACACATATCTCTTTTTTTTTATTTACGTTTTACTCTCATTTACCCATATATGAACTATATAGTAAAGTCAAGTACTGTGATTGTCTGCTGAGTCCATATAACTAAGTCTCGCAAAAAGGTCTTATTGTAAACTGTCTAGCTCAAAAACAAAAATTCATTCGAAACTAAAATTAGGTATTCGAGATAAGGTATATACTAATCTAAGATGGTAGTTTAATCATGGATTTTACAATTTGTTTGAGAAAAAATCTCCTAAATTTGAGTTACAGTAGAATTCAAGTAATAAAGAACACATATAAAATTGAGATGGTATGGTTTTGTACTAAAAAAAGGTTCATATTTAGCTACAAACTTGAAATAATATTGTGTATAGGAGCTGTGGTGGGGAATGGAAGAGGGTCTAGAGTCAACCTTATGCCAAATACTATACTGCTCAGCTTCTCTCAGTTCCTTGCTTATTTAATTTATTTATAAAAGCTAATAAAATAAATTTTGAACTAAATGTTTATTTTCCAAGATGACATGGTAAAAGAAAAAGGGAAAGATATTTCTTGGATGGAAGTTTTGAAATTGGAAACACAAGCATAAGCTATAATATGAGCATAAGTATAAGATATCCGACGGTATAAACTAGGAGCTGGCAGCGATAATCATACTCATGTCTTCAACAGTGTTAATTGTCACGCTTGTGAGTTAGTTCTGTCCTCATAATTTTTCTTTAACTCTAATTACATTTGCATTAGAAAAATTCGGAACTTCTGCGTTTTTATTTGTGTGTATTTTTCTTGTTAATTTTATATTTTCTGAATTATTGTGATTATCTCATTATTGAATTCATTTTATTTATATTTTTATGAATGTTTCAAATTAAGTCTGATTATTTTTTTAGGCTGACCAATATCTTTACACTACTGCTAAATACTTTATTGAACTTGCTTTGCTCGAAACTTATTTAGCTTCTTCTCGACCTTCACAAATAGCAGCTGCTGCTATCTTCATTGCTTTGTGGTAAGATAAATATTTATTAACTTAGAAATCCCCATTTTAAATAAGTATTTTATTTTTTCATGATTAGTGCAGTCATTTGGCTCTAAAAAAGAGGTTACCTAGAAAGTTTTTCGAGAGTTTTGAAAATGGGTAATTTTATAGATTTCAATGTGATCTTTCCAAATTTCAACTTTGCCACCTCATATTTTTGCCGCTCGTGCTGTCATATTGGATAAATGGTGACTAAAAGCAGTTTTTGATAATAAGAATGGGCTAATTCCTGTCATCATACTTGAGCCCCCAGAACTGGAAAGTTTGTTAAAGTGCTCCACTATATGCACGAATTGTAATGATACCTGTGATAACTCGTTGGTCCTATTACAAGATAGTCATAAAGAGCAAGAAGCGAAGACTATTTTTGAGCAAACTTATGATGAAATCGAAAAGGAAAAGAATTGCGATGAAAATGATAGTCCCATCGCAGATGATGTGGAAGAAATTTTCGGTCTGTAACGTTACGATCACTACTAAAGACAATGAACTCGCAACACCTGGTCCATCAAGAACAGCAAACCGCTTCCAAAATTTTGGAATAGTGAATTGCATGTGGATTTGGGCCTACTGGGGATACCAAAATGAAAATAATGCGCCACTTACTCTACCTGAAAGGTGGTGTAGAAATGAGTTTTGTGGCCAAAAGGCGTGTTGAACAACACTTGGCGTGCTAAACTACAATAAACGCCAAAACTATTGATTTAAAAAAAAAAAAAGGTTATAACATATATTGTTGAAAATTTTCTCTAGTTTCATTTTTATATAAATGTTTTTATCGGGAAAAGAGTCCAAAAGGAAATATAGTCAAAAACTGCTTTTAGATGTCATTTTTCCAATATGGCGGCGCGAGCTTCAAAGTTTAAAATCGGAAAGAGCACATCAAAATCTATATAATTACCCATTTTCAAAACTCCCGGAAAATTTTCCAGGTTAAGCTGCTAGTTATAGGTTAAACTCCTAATAACTGTACTAGATACATATTCTACCAAATTATTTAACTTATTTAACTATTTTCAAAGGGCTTTCATTATGACATATTTGTGGCAATTAAGCCATCGTACCGCTTTTATTTCCTTAACTATAAAATCAAATTAATCCTTCTTTAGCCCATGCCATCTAGTATTTTTTTTTTTTACCAAATGAAGGTCATTAAGTCTTTACTTCCTTCATTCCATAAATGATACGTGAATTGGTTATAAAATCATCACCAATTTCTGAGGCTTATCTTATATCAGTATTACTAGTAATTATAATTACTAGTATTATTAGTATTATACTAGTAACACCTTAGAGGATATTGGTCTTTTTATTTTTTATATTATATCCTTATAAAATAGTAGTAATAGAGGTTTGTGGCTTGAGGAATGAAGTGATGCCAGGTTGAAGAGATTAAACAGATAGTTGAATCTGTATTTATGAAAATCAGTTAAGAGCACTTATTTCTCTTTTTTCCTCCACTCAATTTTTTTTATTGAGTATTAATACAGTCTGCCACACTGTAGGGCATTAGTACTAGGGCTATAGTATTTATTCACACAATATGTACATAAGAAAGGAAAATAAATAAAAATAACCAAGTAAGAAGAGAAAGAAAGAAAAAAAAAAGATATATATATATATATATATATATATATATATATATATATATATATATATATATATATAAACAAAAAGATTAAATAATATACAAGATAAGTAAAATAACAGTCCACTCAATTTAAAATAGGATTAAGTTTTGTGGTTGTGTTTTAAAAGCTTTATTATTGTTTTTTCCTTGAACATCATTCCTTCAATCCTTTTGAAATCATTAAATATGTATTTTTTTCTTTCAATACGCCTTTGTAAAAAAATGTTAATCTTGTTGACTCTCTGAATTTCGTAAACCCTAATACATGAAAAATCCTTATTTTTATTACTATATTGCTTATATTACTATTACAGATATGCCAAATATCATTGCAGAAATTATATTTTTCTGTAAAAGCCATACTGAGTATTATTAACTATTTTTCTATGGATTTTATGTCTTTCTCTTTATGTAGATTTGTATTATCTTTTGCAAGTCTATCTATGGATTAGTTATTTTGTCATCACCAAAAATTTGTAACAACCAAGTCATCATTACCTATTATTTCAAATTATATGTTTATTTGATGTTTTCAATCATTATTTTTCTAGTGCTAAACACAATCACATCACAGAAGATCACTGGTCACCAACACTGGAATATTATTCTTCTTATAACTTGCGAGATTTTATAGATGTAATTACAAAATTAGCCACAGCAATACTCGAAGCTCCAAATTCCAAATTCCAGGTGATTTCATTGTTATACTTATCTAGTTTTTGTTTTCACATTAGTAAATTTCAACTGCTTTCATTATACTGCCCTACAAAAAACTTTTTTTTGCTTATATCTTCGATGAAAACTGTTTCTCTTGACTAATTTTGGTGTGAGAAACTCGAATTTTCTGTCAGAATCCTTATATTAGCTACCCTTCTGCTGACATGTATACCCAGTATCGAATACAAGTAATTAAGTTATTGGAAGTTACACGATCATTTTTAAGTCTTTAAAAGTGCTTTATTATTTGTGAAATACTTTTACAACCCACAAAACATTAAATTACAACTTATCTCGGCAAGAACAGCACTGTTGTACGGTTTATTTAATACATTTTTTCTTTGCTTGACGATTGTACTGATGTTCTGGCAAATGGCTCACAAGGTTTCAACAGTAGTCTGCGAGCATTGAAGTATCCCACCGAACTTGATATCTTCGTTCCATCGAGGATATATCTTGGTGAAATCTCTCACCATGTTCATCACTTACAGATCCACAATTTTCAGGAATTAAGTCCAAATGAGAGTGAAGAAAGTGAATCTTGAGTGACATGTTACAACCGAGATCTCTGTACTTCTTTAGGAGGGTTTGGACATAGACTGCATAATTGTCCTCTCTTTTGTTACCCAAGAAATAATTAACTAAAGCTATAAATGCTTCCCATGTTGCTCTTTCTTTATCCTGAACAATATTAAAAAATTTCCCGTCATTAAGAAGCTGAAGTGGATTTGTGGACCAACAAATACACCCTCTTCACTTAAGCGAAGAAATTTTCCTCTCAAGTACTTGAATGCCTCTCCTGATTGTTCCATTCCTTTGACGAAATTTTTCATGAGCCCTAACTTTATATGTAGTGGAGGCAAAATGATTTTTTCAGGGTCCACAAGAGGGTTGTAGAGAACATTTTTTTGTCCAGGGGTCAGGACTTCTCTTTGAGGTCAATCTTTCCTGATGTAATGAAATGATCTGTCCCACTCACATAAGAAACAACAGTACTTAGTATATCCCTGTTGCATGCCTAGAAGAATTGTCACCACTTTCAGGTCTCCACAGATTTGCCATTAGTAGTCCTGGTGTTTGATGGATTTTAGAAGGGTTTACATGTTTTGGTAAGTTTCCTTCGTGTTGTCAGGATGGCCAATAGGGATTAAGAGTAACTTGAAATGTAAACACTGCATACAATTGTCAACGAAATGGTTCTGTGATTCACAGCTAGTCGTTTCCCATGATTCATAGACATAAATCAATCCTACCACCCCTGGAGCAGGAAATTTCCCCATATTACACAAAAAGTAACTATATCTTTGAAACTAGAGCTAGCTCATGATTTTTATGTGGGAAATTGAATTTCTCACACCGAAATACATGGAATGAGGCTCTTTTTAAGTGAAATACAATATCAATGTAGAGCAGTGTTATAATTAATTTTACTGTAAAAAAATTTGTAAAATAATGATTTTACGTTTGCACACTCATTAATGATTGATGTTTCTTGTTTTAGTTATTTTTTATCATAAACCTTTGTTGCTAATGTTGTATTCAACTATTACAGAGTATCCGAAACAAGTATTCAAGATCTGAAAATTTCAAGGTCAGCCATGCAGAAAGTTTACTCCCAGATTCACTTGTTTTACGGAAACTATGCAAATTAAAAGTAGTTTAACTTTGATTACTATTAGTTTAACTTTGAGTAGTCAAATGTAAATTTTTGATCGAATTCCTTAATATGACACTTTTGTTTTTATTCATAAATTTAAACAAATTTCTTGATATGACTTATTATGTTTTGTATTTTTTAAATATTTTAATTTAACATATATTTGTAAATTGGATCTAACTATATTTGTAAAATTATGTATACTCTTGTAATAAATGATATTGAAAGAAGTCAATTGATTTGACCTTATTTCCATTCCATGATGATATTAATTAATTTAGAAAACAAATATAGATTAAATAACTCAGGTTGCAACCATCAATCATCTTTCATCTCTACTATTTGCTGATCATCAAATGTATCTTACAAAATTATGTCATAATAAATGAAATTGGTATAATTATTTTTAGTTATTAATGGTTTCATAAGCTAGTCTGACCACACTGTTTTTTTTTTTTTTTTTGTTTTTTTTTTTTTGCTATTAGATGACCATCTCAGCCTATTTTTTTCTAAATATATTCCAGTGTTTTCACGTCCATTTGATTCTTTATTACCATGTTTCTAGTCTCATCTCTATTTGGTGCATCCTTCAGCCTTCCTGAGGTACCTATGGGTTGCAGTATTTTCTTGTTCTTGGATGTTACCATCTCCATGATTCAGAAGAGTACATTAGTATTGAGAAGAAAGTTGACTTATTAATGGCAACTAAGTACAAGTTGTAAGAGTGTATTATGTTGTAAAGGTGTATGGTGCTATATGGTTATGGTTTCATATTAAACTTGAAGCATCATGTGTCCATGACACTAAATACGTTTGGAAACTTATTAAGTTTTCAGGATACCTAAGCGAGCATTTAAAAATAATCAGCTATCATTCAAAGAAATGACATAACTTTCATGCCAAACGTTTTATTGACATAATTGAGTGTATGGATACAAAAATCACAGAGCCTTAAATGACAAAACACTTAAATTGTTGAGAAAAAACTATTCAAATGCAGTTAAAGAGCCTTGTTTCTTGATGCAACCTGCTTGTAACTGAGCCATCATTAAGGGTTTGTGGTCCTGAAGCAAGGTATGGCCTTGTAAAAAACAAAAATTACTTCGCAAAAGAACATGTCAAAATTTGTGACAAAATAAAAATTATCCTAGTGGTAGCAGGACATCAACATCAAATCAATCTAAACTTAATTGAATAAAAAAAATCTGGTGCGCGCGCACAACTTTCACTTACTGCTCTACTTTGTATAGAAATTATTTTCTGGCAATGTTGGGCTATTATAAAATTTTTGATGTGCATTTTTAACTAAGCTTAAGTTTTTTGGTTTTTTTATTTCTAAATGATATATACAACTGTATTAAAGAAATACATTTACTAAATTTGAACATATGGATATAATGATGTGAAAACAATTCTTGAGAAACTACCCAATGGTAGCAATCTAATGATATGTCTACATTAAGAGATCATGAGGCCATCTTCTTTTCAGGCCTCGGGGGTTATCAGGAATTGAACGAGAAGCAAGGTTAGGAACGAGAGGGTTGGGATGATTCTGAAGTTTATTATGAAAGAATTGTGCCAGATCTGAAACATTAAGGTCATTATGGATGGTTTTATTTGTAAAAAATAGGGAGCATTGAGGATTTTACGACGAATTTTGGATTACAAGGATTGAATACAAGAGGAATTCGATGGTTTAGTGGAGCCCCATAGTTCAACTCCGTAAGTCCAAATAGGCCTTATTATAGTCATGTATATGAGTCTTTTGTAATTAATTAGAAGTTTAGATTGTTTTTCTAGTAAGTGCTGAAGTAATCGGAAACGTTGAGGGGTTTCTTGTCGTTTCAGTCTGGTATGAGGATTCCAAGTTAGACGTTTGTCCAGGTGGAGTCCTAGGTAGCGGATGAGCTAAAGCTTAAAGCTTACAGCTAACAAATCATCGATACCATTAAAATAACGAAACTTCTATTTATTATATCAACGGTTGATTATGGATTGTATGGATTAGAATTGCCTCGCAATTAATCCTCTAAGCCCTATTTTAAATCAATCTGGAAAAGGTTAATCAGGAAACAATAATTTCTCACTCTTTTTATATAGATGGCTTAAAGCTCTATGCTAAGAACGAGAGAGACTTGAGAACTCTTCTTGAGTTGGTAAGGTCATTCATGAAGCAGTAAATGACAGATGCCGTCTATGTAAAGTCACAAATTAATCGGTTCAACATGTTACCTCTGGCTGCCAGGCATTAATTGAATTAATTAAATTAAATGATGGAAAAAAACCACCTATTAATCCAAATAAGTATTAATTTGAATTGTTGAAGAGAATTTGATGGAATTGGTACTGACAGCATTAGTATGTTGGTCTCCAACTTTGGCCCAAATCAGACAAGAAGTTTTCGAAATATAAGTTTTGTGAAAAAGAAATCAGACTTTCCATTTGTATTCTTAATAATTGATGCAGCATGCAATTCCTACTAATTTCCAGAGATAATTTGCATGTACATTCATCAGGGTGGTTATCAAACTGTCAAAATAAAATTCCCTGACTTTTCCCCATTTAATGATAGCTTTCCTTGACCATATTGTTCAGTCAGTCAGAGGACACAAATGTTAAAAATGTATAGTTCATAATTATACATATATAGCTTATTACTATTACTATAAACTATATATATAGTTTATAACTAATTCATTTATTATACATTAGAGAAAATTGAAAGATTAGAGTAAAAAAAAGTCTATTCAGTCTTTTAAATAACAAATATGATGTTCTAGAGGAAGAATTTTTTAACTTGATTAGGATTTTTTATTTTAGAAAACTAAACTTTAAAAAATTTATTTTTATCGCCTTCATTTTATTTTCATATAGAGGATATAAAAGTTGATAATTGGCACTTTTCTCTATTATAAAAAAAAATGAGCTGTGAACGATTCTTATTTTAATATAGTTCCGCATAAGCACTTTAGTTTTTTTACTGGCACAAACAGAGTAATAATTATCCATACAATACCAACTGTGAGGCGGGATAGCCAAGTAGTCAATGAATTATTATAGAAGGGAATGGCGGGGACACAATTTTTGACAGTAGGAAATTGTTTGAATCAGTAAGGATGTAAACATACTTAAGTTCCCACTCCTAGGTGGTGAGCCAGATGTGGAGGGGCGTCTAGAATGTCATTTTTTTTGGATTTTCCCTTATATCAGGATCATTCCATGCCAAATCATCCAGAAGAAGTTCAATTCGTAACCCACTCCCCTAAGATCTAAATGAAAATCAGTAAATATTAAGCATATACTCATGTAAGTAAAAATATCAAATTTTAGCCAATTTTTAGAGATTAGTTTCAGAATTATGGGCTTTTAAACTTTTTAAATATTTGAAGTTGGAAAGATATTAGGCTCAAAACCGGCATATACTACAGTGGCTTAATAATTATAATAAATATTAAGCCACTGTAGCATATACCTGTTTGGTTTGCAATTTTAAAACCAATATTTATTGAGGGAGAGCTTTCAAAATTTATTCATTTATCATAAATTTAACAGTAGATACCATAAGTTAACTGTTGATACCATAATTTTTAACATTATAATTTTTCTTCATGTATACAAAAAAAAGAGAGAGAGAGAGAAGGCGCGAAACCGGCCCCCTCATCAAACTGTGCGTAAACCATATTACAAATTCACAAGTATTCCTTCACAAAACATTTGTTTCTTTTTATAACTCACAAGAAAAGGGCTCCCGAGCATATGGCATGTACCGGGCCCCCCCAATATTGCACACATGGTGCCCCGGGTAAAGAATACTTGTGAATGAATATATTGTAAACATCCGCCCATCAATTCAATATTTTAATTTGTTTAATGCTTCAGTTTAACTCTCGGTTTGTCTCGGTTATTTTTTTTTTCGTTAAATTAATTTAAAAATTTCAATATTAACAGCATTTATTAACTCCAATGTTGTATTTAATTAACGTAATATTAAACGGCTTAAACAGCCAGCAGGTAAATCGTAATACCATTTGAAGCAACATTCAAGGCCTAATTCCACTAAGCACAACAGTTATGCTTACTTCCGCCGCTACATCTAAATGTTTTCTTCTTTACGTATTTAAGTCGCCAGCATCCAAACAACTCAAGTCTATATAGTTTATGAATTCAGTGCATTATTTCAGCTTTCAGCTTAGATGCATTTACAGTGATTTATTATTGTCATTTTATAAACGTACGAATAATGTACGCACACAATAATATACGAGCAGAATGTTAAAACGTGACTGTTCTTATTAATATTCTTGCATTATGTTAAAATTGTTGCATTTTAATTTATAAAGAATTTTATCCAGAATCTATTTATATATATTTCAACTGTTTGAATATTTTTTCATATATTTATTGATTGTTAAGTGTGCGCACGTTTTCATATTTTATTTCATTTTGTTAATTTTATATATAGATTTATTACCTTATTTTTCATGCCTGTTTTATATTTATTACATATTGTTGGATTTATTTATATATTTATTAGCTTTTTTCGCGCATGTTTAATTTCTTGTTATTAAGTTGTATATATTTCATTAGTTTATATGCATAAGTATTTTTTTATCTCTCATATTTCATTCGTTTTTATGCATGGTTATTTATTTAATTATTTATATTCAATTAGCTTATATGCATAAATATTTATTTGGTTATTTATCTTCATTAATTTATATGCGAGGATATTGTTTGACGGATTATATATAGTTATCCGATGATTTTTTGTATTTTTCGTCACATTTAAGTACTTAAATATTTTTCTTACTTCTCTCACAATTTTGCGACTTTGTTAGATATACTTAGTATATTCATTATTTTTCTTTTCAATTCATAAATTCACTCGAACCATGGGTAACGAACAGTTAAACGACCTTTCTGACCACGGTGACGCGCTTGAGCGTAAGCTTCGCCATATCAAGCGCGGTCTCAACAAATTATTTATCCAAGCCGCGGATATCGACGGTGGAGACTTCTTCGAATACGAAGTAATTTATGAAGAGTCAAAGTTAATGTGGGACAAGTTTGAAAACATATGGGAGGAATTGGATGCGCTCTACACGTCTCAGGGTGCTTCAGCCTATCCGCCCGACTGGGAAACAGACTACGACGCCATTCAGGGGAAGTACATAAAATAGAGGCGGGATATCGGAGATTAAGCTCGCATCGCGCCGCGGTTGATAATAAC